TCTAAATTAAATTTATTAGCACATTCTATCAAACATTTAAAGAATTCATATGAGTTCTCAAACTCTTCCCAAAAAAGTTGAAGAGGAGGAAAAATTGAGGAGGAAATACTTCCAACCTAACTTATGAGGCCAGAATTACTCTGATACCAAAAGCAAAGATTGCACAAGAAAACTTTAGGCCAGTACCCCTGATAGGTTCAAAAACCTCAGCAAAACACAAGCAAACCAATTCCAGCATTCAAATGATCATGAACTAGGACTTATCTCTGGAATGCAAGGATAGTTCAATATATGAAAATAATTTAATATGACACACTGGATTAACAGTACAGATAATCACATGTCATCTCAGTAGATGCAGAAAAGTGTTAGATAAAATTTAAAGCTCTTTTATTACTTAAAAAAATCAAACTAGAAACAGAAAAATTACTTCATTTAATAAAAGCCATGTATGAAAAGACCTCAGCTCTTACACTCAGTGATGAAAACTGACTGCTTTTCCTCTTAAAATCAAAAACAAGTGTCACCACTTCTATTTCATGTTGTACTAGAAGTTCTAATCAGAAAAATTAGGAAAAAGAAATTAAGAAAAAGAATAAAAGGCATTGAACTTGAAAAGCAAGAAGTAAAATTGTCCCTTTGCAGACGTGATCTAATATTATAAACCCCTAAGGATTCCATGAAATAACTGTTAGTACTAATAAATGAATTTCATACAGTTGTATGATACAAAACCAACATACAAAAGTCAGTGTTGTGCCAGGCGTGGTGGCTCACACCTGTAATCACAGCACTCGGCAGGGTGAGGTGGGAGTAGTGTTGCGAGTTCGAGACCAGCCTGGGCTACAAAATGAGCCCAAGGCCAGCCTGAACTGCATAGCGAGACCCCATCTCAAAAAAAGTCACTGTTATTATTTGTTTCTTTTTTGTAAGAAATCTTTTTGGTTTAAGTCTTATTCTTTAAGTAACTACTTTGAAGATAACAATACACAAATAAACAATTCTCTTAATTATAGAATTGTTTTATTTTCTCATAAAATAAAAAATTTTAAATCAGATTCCTATATAGTAACAGTAAACTATTTGAAAAGAAATTTAGGATAATAATACGATTTATAATATTAGAACCAAAAAAATCTTGGAATACACTAAGTAAGTTACAAATATATACACAAAACATCAGTAAAAGAAATTAAGACACACACACACACACACACACACACACACACACACACACTGAAAGACATCCTTTGCTCATGAGTTAGAATATTTTTATTAAAAGTGTTTATACTGAGCTGGGCGTACCTGTAAGCCCAGCACTCGGGAGGCTGAGGCAGGAGGATCGTTGCAAGTTTGAGACCAGCCTGGGCTACAAAGTGAGCTCAAGGTCAGCCTGAACTGCACGGTGAGACCCTGTCTCAAAAAGACCAAAACAAAAGTGTTGATACTTTCCAAAATATCACTGTAAATTCAGTGTAATCCCAATAAAAATTCCAAGGCATTTTTTTTACAGAAATAGAGATAAAATTCTAACATATATATGAAACAGAAAAAGACCCAAAATAGCCAAATCAACAATCTTGAGAAAGAAGAACTAAGCTGAAGGCCCTTCCATATTTTAAAATCCATTACTGCCAGACATGGTGGTATGTTCCTGTTGTTCCAGCTACTTGGAAAACTGGTGGAGGAGGATCATGTGAGTAGGAGTTTCCGGCCAGCCTAGGCAATATAGCAAGAGCCTTTTTTAAAAAAATTAGGCTATAATCAAGACTAGAATGTCCTATTGAAAGATTAAAGGACTAAAGTGACATTTAAAAAAGGATTCAATTCATTATTTTTAAAAAAATCTCTTAAAACTAAAATTAGAAAAGATCTTGTTAATCTGATAAAGATTATTTTGGTTTTTTTTGTTTTTTTTTTTTTTATTGGTACCAGGAATCGAACTCACGACCGCCTGCTTGCAAGGCAGGTGCTTATGCCACTGAGCTAAATCCCCAGCCCCTATAAAGATTATTTTAAAGTATCTATGATAAGGCTAGAGGATTTGCTCTGTGATAGAAAACATCTGTAGCATACATGAGCCCTGGGTTTGATCCCCAGCACCAACAAAACTATAGTAACATTACACTTAATGGAGAACTACTGTAGCTTAACATTAGAGATTGGCATGAAATAAAAGTATCTTTTATTTGTTTTTGTTCTTTGAGACAGGATCTCACTATGCAATTCAGGCTGGTGCAAACTCACTGTGTCGTCCAGGCTGGTCTCCCACTGACAGAGATATTTCTGCCTCAGCCTACGAAGTGCTGGGATTACAGGTGTAGCCACCATACCCTGCTACAGTGTCTTTTATTACTAATTCTATTCCTGAGGGTGTTGGCCTATCTAGTTAGGCAAGAAAAATAAAATTACTGAATTGAAAAGAATGAAGAAAACTTGTATAGAAGTGGAACAAAATAGACATACACATTGGTTGAAAAAAAGTATAACCACTTCAGAGAATAAAAGCCTTTTTTCAGTAATTTTGATAATGCTGTGTCTCTATACTCTGACCCATATTACCTTGTTTATATATCCTAGAGAAACTCTGGAACTATACATCATGATTTATGAGTAAGTTCACGGTAGCAAAAATGTTTATCAGAGCCCAGCATAGTGGTACATGCCTGTAATCCCAGCACTCAGGAGGCTAAGGCAGGAGGATCCTTGCAAGTTCAAGACCATCCTGGGCTATAAAGTGAATTCAAGGCCAGCCTGAACTGCATTGTGAGACCCTGTCTCAAAAAGAACAAAAAAAAAAAAAAAAAAAAAATCAGGTAAATACCCCATAGGTAAATGAACTATGTATTTTCAACCAATTAAATAAAGGCAGGAGTGTAGCTTAGTGTTAAAGCACATGCATGGCATGCATTAGGCTCTGGGTTCAATCATGGAACAAAAAAAAGAAAAAGTATAAATAGTATGTAATATCAAAAAGGAATGATTCATGGCCATATAAATCAATGTAAGTGAATCATAAAAGACAAGACAAAGCAAATGCATACAATACTATTCTAATTAGTGTAATTTAAATTGGTGTTGAACTTCTGTTATTTTTATAAGCAGGCTCTTAATTTTCCCTCAGAAGTTAGTATGACTTAATTATTTAATGGCAATTATTTCTTTACTATTTTACTTTTATTGGTACATGTTTGCAATACATAATGACTACATTCCTTGTGAGGAGTTGTCTGTTACCTGTTCATAACACATCTTAATTCTTTTTTTTAATCCTCTGCCTCTCCCTTCTTTAAAATATAATGAGCCAGGTGTGATAGGACACATGTGTAATTCCAGCATGTTAGAGCTAAAGCAGGAAGATCACCACAAATTTGAGGCCAGCCTGAACTGTATAATGAGACTCTGTCTCAAAGGAAAAAAAAACAGTAATGAAAGGCACTTCTCTTGAGGACTCACAATTTGCTTTCTTTGAGTGTGTACTTTACATTCTACCTAATAAACTTTACTGACAGACATCCTGAAAATTATTCTTTTTTTTAATTTTATTTTAAAGAGGACAAAACAGAATAAAACCAATCAAAACAAACCAGTATAAGAGATACAGGACTTCAAAATATTACAAAATCAGCAATAGTTACCATAATGCGTTTTGATATCTTCAAAATAGCAGCAGATAACTTCAGACATAGTAAAAGTCAAACAGAATAGAGTAGAAACAATAAAAATAAAACAATGAATGCAATAGAGGATTTCAAAACAAGCCAATAGTAAATCCAAAATTACTACCATAATGTATCTTGCTATCTTTGAAATAGCTGCTCCTGCCATCGGATTTGACATAATCAAACAGAACAAGAAAATAAACTCCAGCAGAACAAAATAATGGAAATGAGATAGGGCTTCAAAACAAGACCATAGGAAATCAATAACGGCTACACCACTCTGAATGAGATGCCCCCTAGATGTCAGACCACTATCCTCGGGACTTATGCTCAGACCACTGGCCCTACACCTGTTATGTTAGTGAAACAACAAAGCACCACAGGCATCCAACTGCATTTCACTTCCATAGCTATCATCACAGCCTGTGTTTCACCTAGTAAGTTGGGCGTCACTTACAGCAGGGAGTGGGGTGGGGTGGGAGGATTGGTACTTGTTGTTTGCCAGCCCACTCATCAGAAGGGGCTGAGGTCTGGCTGTTCCAGTCCACTGGCGGCCTGCACATCGCACTGATTCCCAGACTAGGCTTGCTTGCTGGTGTGACCTTGTTCTCTCTACCCCCAGTCCAAGAATGGCTGTGGAAATTATTCTTTTGCGATGAAAGTCATCAGACCTGCAACCTGCCCTGTGAATGGGACATCCCCTCCAGAGCTTGATAACCAGAATCTGCCAGGACAGTAACTTTTATCTGTTGGCTTAGAAAGCACAGCCTTGTTCCCCCGATACTTTATATAATGAGGAGTCCAATGAAAGCAAACTTCCTTCAAAACATGGTAGAAGATAGAACAAAATCTGTATTATCATAGAAAACAGAACAGAATCTATATTATCATGCATAGCAGCAAGTGAATAAATGAGAAAGTGAAGAAATTTCAGTTATTGCTAAGGAAATGACAATTCCTGGTAATGTGTCATATCTTCTTTTTTTATTTAACTTCATGAATTGCTATGATGATTAATATGTTTTCAATGTAATTCCAACACTATAACAAAGGACAACAGTAGAAAATCAAGTATTCAACTCTGAAATACTTTCTTTTCAAATCAAAATATGTACACATATGATTGGATACCTGTTTTCCTTTGCTGTGGACTAAGCTATTACAGATTAAAATAAGACAGAGTTGCAGAAGCTTTTTTATAAAATAGACTTCTGTATTCTAAAAAAAGTCAATGAAAGGTAATAGATGTTTACATTTAGTTGAAAACGCTAATTTGGACGCAAAATACTTCCTTTGCCAAAAAATGATTGTATTGACTTCATTTTCTTTCTTGTTCAGGTGATGTATGGAATGTTGGTCTTTACATTAATACTTCGATCTGTTTATATTGTTACATGGTAAGTAGCTTGGATGGATCATCATCCATCAACACTATCAAAGTGTATCTAGACTTTATAACAGTTAATATTTAGCCAGAACTGAAATAACACATGAAACCTAACTCCTGCAGAGATGTGGCTAAAAATCTGTAACTTGACATTTATTATAGTATGTGGAATGCTAGTTTTTCAGGCAAATTGTTAATTGGCGGCATATGAAAACAAGAGTTTGAATATTTTTTAAAAACTGGAGAAAAGCTGTGTGTGATGGCATCTTTTTGAGCATATATAGTTATTACCAGGATATTAGACTTTGAACAGTCCTACAGTTTAAAAAATTTTTGTTGTGAATCAATTTACTTGAACAACTTTTGTTGTTCTGCAACATTATAATTTACTAGGTAACCTGAAACTAGGTTTACTAGGAAACCTGTTTGACATAATACCTCTCAGGGAAGGGTATTAATGTTACAAAGAAATACATGACACATCATTTGAGAAACAACCCTAATCTTTCATAAGAGTTTATGGAAATGAAATAACATTCATGAGAATACCTTACATAAATCCTGCCCATACAGCAAGCAAGTTCATCAATAGGAAAGTAGTATGATATGGTTGTTTGTTGTTTTTTATTTTGTTGGTTTTCTTTTTTTAAAAAAAAACTTCCCACTTTATAAACATTGTAGAAATGTATATATTTGCAATAAATAATAGAGATCCTCTGTACCCTTTACCAATTTTCTTCTTTGGTAATATCTTGACAAACTATAATACAGTATCCCACCCAGGATTTGACATTGATACAGTCAAGACACAAAACATTTCTATTACTGTAAAAAGATCCCTGTACCTCTTTATAGCCACGCCTACTCCTCTCCCACCTCACCATGCCCTCAGTCTTCCTTAACCCCTGCCAATTACTAATCTGTTCTTCATTTTTATAATTTTATAATTTTAAGAATGTTATGTAAATGCATTCATAAAATACATAACCTTTCAGATTGTTTTTGAACTCAGCATAATTCTCTGGAGATTAATCCAGATTGCTGAATATATTAATAGTTCATTCATTTCTATTACTGAGTATTATTTTATGGTATAGGTGTATCACAGTTTAACCATTCACCTGTAGAGTGACATCTAGATTATTTACAGTTTGGGACTATCATAAATAAAGCTGCTGTGAACATCTGTCTATTTTTTTGTGTGGATATAAATTTTCATTTTTCTAGAATTCCCAGATTATATAAAGATTATTTTAGTTTCTTGTCACAACTGCTGACCTTTTTTTCTAGAATAGCATTACCATTTTTACATTTCCACCAGCAACGTCTAAGTGATCCAGTCTCTACATCCTCACCAACATTTATTGTCATCACCTTTTTTTATTTCAGCAATTCTAATATATGTGGGTCACTGCTCTACACTTTGCATTTCCCTAGTGGTTACTAGTGTTGAATGTACCTTTATGTGCTGATGTACCATTAAAATATCCTCATTAGCAAAATATCTACTCATGTCTTTGCCTATTTTCTTACTGTTCACAAAAAGAGTTCATAAAGATAGTTTGCAGGGTCTCTTAGTGATACTGTGTTTCATTCATGTTATTGCTGGTGTACTGTTTGTCTCATCAGCCTTGCTAAACATTTCTCAATATTTTTTTAATTTTAAACAGAAAAAAATTTTAAAACAGGCTAATAGGAGAATAACAATAAACACATTGCATATTATTATATTCACAGTAGTTGTTCAGAGAAACCTTGCGAATTTTATTGCTCTTTATAAAAACATTTTTGGTAGGCATGGTGGCACATCCCTATAATCCCAGCACTCCAGAGGCTGAAGCAGAAGGATTGCTGCAAGTTCAAGGCAGTCTAGGGTACATAGTGAGTTCAAACCAGCCTGAACTACATAGAGAAAGCCTGTCTCAAGAGCAAACAAACAGGAGCTGGGGATTTAGCTCAGCGGCATAAGCACCTGCCTTGCAAGCAGGCAGTCGTGAGTTCGATCCCTAGTACCGATAAAAAGTTTAAAAAAAAAAAAGAGCAAACAAACACCCACTTTTTTTATTATATTTTTCATCTTTTAAGTTTCATTAATTCTCTTTATTGTTTTCTTCCTGTTGCCTTCTGTGGGCTTGTTTTGCTCTTCTATTTCTTAAGTTCTTAAGGTAGAAGTTTATATTATTGATTTCGGACTTTACATATTCCTTATGACAATTTGGGTGCTATAAATTTCCCTTTCAGTATTGCTTTAGCTGTGTATCATAACTTCGTTGTACTTTAATTTTTAAATTTTCAGTTAGGTAATATATATATGTATTTTTTTAATGTCCCATGAAATTTTTTTCTGTATCTGTTGATTACTTAGAAGTTTACTGTTTAACATTCAAGCATTTGGATATTTTCTTGTAAACATTCTTTTTGAGTTCTCATTTGATAACATTATACTCAGAGAATATATTGTGTATGCTTTCATTTCTTTTAAATTTTTGAGGTTTATTTGATGGATCAAGAGCTATACCAAGAATATTTATGCCAAGGATATCTTGGTATATGTTGCATGAATACTTGAAAAGAATTTATATTTTTGGCCAGATTGTGGGAGGCTGAGGCTGATCAAAGTTAAGCAAGCTCACCCTTGATGACTCAGCAAGATGCCTCCCCAAAATAAAAAATGAAAAGGGCTGAGTATGTTGCTCATTGTGAAGGTCTTAGGTTCAAACCCAATACTACCACCAAAAAAAAAAAGTATTGAGGTATTGTTCAGGGAAATTTCCTCTAAATGTTGACTAGGTCCTGTTACTTAAAATGTCAGGGTTCCTCAAGACCACCCTCATGTTCAGTGAACTGTTCTGTTCAAAACTCAGTAAAGCTGTTATACTTAATGATTTTGATCAGACACAAACTGGTGTTCACTCTAAATCATACTAGCACAAACTATGTAGCATGACTCAAAGTGTAAGTATACAAAGTTTCAGGTATACTGTACAGCATTTTTCAAGGAATCAGATGTTATATGTCCCATGAGTTGGTCCAGGGCCAATCCTTCTTCTGGAATGTGCAGTGTTTGTGCTCAAAGCCCAGTGAGTTAACTCATGAATGCACAGTGGTATTGTTGAGTTCTTCCATATTGTTATTGGTTTTCCAATGTAATTCCATCAGTCATTGAAAAAGGCATGTTGAAGTCTCTTTACATGATTTAGCATTTGTCTCCATCTTCTTTTATGAGTTTTTGTGTCCCTTGAAGCTCTATTGTTTGCTGCATAGATTTGCTATGCCTTCTTGGTGGATTGACCTTTTGGTCATATAATGTCTCTATGCATCTGGTAATTTTCTTTGCTTAGAATTTAGCATTGAGCCAGGGGTGAGGGTGGGAAGCACTCTGAAAGTCTGGGGCAGGAGGCTCTCAAGTCAAGCCCAGCTTGGATAACTTAATGACTTAACAAGACCTGTCTTTCCAAGCCACTCCCCATAAAAGGGCTGCAGATGTAACCCAGTGTGGAGGCCCTGGGTTCAGTCCCCAGTAATAAATAGGGATAGGAATTAGCTTGATGCCATAGCAGTGGGTTTAATTTCCAGTACCACCAAAAAACAGAAAATGAGAAATTGAGATGCATTCCTTAATCTGCCTTGCCACCACTTCTTTATCTATATCTGTATTTAGTATTTATTTCAGTTAGCATTGTTCATTGTTTACTTGGCCATCTGCTGAATCACATTGTAAACTTCTAAAGTCTTGGTTCACTTTGTAATCCCCAGAGCCTAGGATTTTGCTTATCCAAATTGTCAACTAGAAAAATAATTTCTTGAGACAGGGTCTCACTATGTTGTCTAGGCTGGCTTCAGACTCATTAGGTGTCCAGGCTGACCTTGAATTCATGGCATTCCTCCTGCATGCAGCTTCTTGAGTACTGGGATTATATCAACTAGAAATTTTAAAAATTGCTGTTTGGTTTTTTGAATATGCCTGGGAAGATATCTGCAAATTCTTCCTGTAATAAAATACATTTTAATTCTAATTTTTAAAAATCTGAATAAAATATAATGCTTTAAATGTTGAGCTGAACTCAGATATAAAGAAAATTCCAATCCAGGTATGGTGGCATACATCTGTAACCCAGCACTCTGAGACGCTAAGACAGAAGGGTGGCAAAACTGAATCTACGCTGGGCACTGAATGACTCAGTGAGACCCTGTCTCAAAAAGGGTTACAGTGTAGCTCAATGCAAAGACCCTGGGTTCAATCCACAGTAATATAAAAAAGGGAAAAAAGGTGGGGATTGGGGGGGAGGGAAAGGAGAGGAAAACAAAAGAAAATTTCAGAGCATCACATCTAAAGAAGCAGCTGCAGACTAGAGTGACAAGTGAATGCTTAAGTCGTAGTTGACTTGATGGCATTTGAAGATACTAAGAAATCACAGCCTTTACCTTCAATAGCCCCACTACAGCAGCTGAAACTGTTTCTATCACTATGCATGCATATATACATACAAGCCCAGTACCATCAAAGAGGTATATAGTCAATGAATGGCTGGGCCAGAAAAAGTTTTGCTCTCCAGTAAAAGAAGATAGCAGTGCCACTTGTCCTTTGGACTTCAGTTTTAGGTAGAAAAAAATGACTTCTCTGAGAATTTATAAAGGATGGTACCTCTGAAATGCCACCATGCCCTTGGGAGCCTGGCTGTTCCCAAGTCACCTAATCGCAGAAACCAAGTGATGCCAGTTTTTCAGATTAACTTTAAGTACTACTTACTGCATGCCTCTCCAGCCAAAGTGAGCATAATTCCAATTCTGTGCAGGGAGTATGAAAAACAGCAAAATATCCATGGCACATCTTTATGGAGTATCTATCCATTTTCCTGTGAGATTTGGACAAAACAAATTTAGGTGATTTTAAAGAACCATTTCTCATGCTGGGACTAGGAGGATCCAACAAGAAGCCAAGTAGCCAGCCTTTCTGATAAGCCGTGCAAGCTACATGGCCTCTAGGAAAAGAAAAGTTGGTACCTCCTATGAGTCTACTAGTGTGCAGGCTGAGAATCAACCTCCCCCAGACAACCTGCTGGTTCAGAGGACAGGCTGAGTTGGTGGCAACTGAGATGCATAAAGCAACCAAATGCTTGTATTGTCTGGTGGATTTTGCAGGCCTAGGCCAGTGATCTGAGCATCTCTATGGAGGATGACAATATACACTACAGCAAATATGGGGGATTTCCTTCTATCTAGTCTTTGAAATCCAATGTTGTTCTCACTGCTTTATGTGATTGTTTTGTAAAAATATTCTATTTTGATTGCTTTTATTCTGTTTTCTTTTGGTTTGATTTTGCTATACTTGATGGAATGGACAACTATTGTGAAGATAACAAGATATAGTATGGTAGCTATTGTTGTTTTCCTAGCATCCTACTTTGAAGTTCTGTATCAATTTTGCTGCTTTGTTTTGATTGGCTTTGCTCTGTTTTGTTAGATTTTACTATCTTTAAAATAATTTTTAATTGCAAAAAAAAAAAAAACAACCATTTCCCCTTCCTAACAAACATAGAAGAAAAAAGTCAGAAAACAGCAGTAGAGGGAGAAGAATCCTAAATACAGTCCAGTCTCTAATTTTCTCAGTCTCAGTAAATGACAACAGTCTCCTTAGAAAAAAATTATCCTTTGATGATCCAGAAGATCATGACTTTTCACTGTATGATGATCATTTATAGAGTGAGAGGCTGAGCTGAATATCTCTTGAGATGAAATAAGAAAGTATTAAAATTTTAATGTTATTTTATTTAATTACTATATGACTTTCTGTTTATGGTTTATAATAAAATATACTAATACAACTATATAATTTATAAATAATTATTCATAGGGCCAGGGATATAGCTCAATAGCACAGCACCTGCCTGGCAAGTGTGAGGTACTAAGTTCAATTTCCAGTACCAAAGCAATTAGTTAATTAATTATACATAAAAAGAAGCACATGTATTCTAATTGTAGGCTATTCAGAATTTCTGTAGATGAAGGTTAAATATACACACATAATCAGTAATCCCAAAATCACCAGAAGAAATAAACCACCATAAGCAAAAAAACAAAAAACAAAAGAATCCCCTCAATTGAGATGCTGACGTACAATAAAACTATTTAGAAAGTGTTTAATGAAATAAAAGATAAAATGAAAATGAGGTCAAGTAACAGATTATTATTAAAAATTGAAAGGCAAGATATAAAAGAAGAACTGGCATGAAAAATAAAATCGTAATTAAAAAAACTCAACAGATAAGTTAAAAAAGATCAGCACAGGTAAAAAAAATGAATAAACAGAAAAGCAAGTCTTAAAAAAAAACACAAAACATCAGAGAAATAACATGTCTAATTGCAGTTTCAAAAAGAAAGAACAGGGTAAGTTTCCTCCAAAGAGATAACAAAAGAGAATTTTCTGTAATCAATAAAACCCATGAATCCATCTTCAAGAACAATAAATTCCAGCAAGACAAATGAAAGAAATCTTTCTGAGGTGCAGCATATATGAGAGATAGCCCTCTCCAACATCATTCCAATCCTCATAAAGTCAGTCTTCCTGTGCTATAGATACTGAAGAGCTAGTATTTCCCGTATCCCCTTTGCAGTTAAGGTTTCAGATAGCATTCTGGTGCTGCCAATCACATGTATTTATATAAGACTTGAAAACCAAATTCAGTGAGAAAGAAGAGGTGGTTATATGTAAGACATCCACTTTTGGTGTGGATATAGAATATGCCTCATGACTAGAGCAAACCATGTGATGGCAGTTACTTTTATCTGTGATACTGATACTGTAATTGGTTCAAGGCTTTCTGATGTTCTAGCTTCCTAATTATGACAAAGAAAAATTTCATTTGTCCAAGTTTTATATACAATTGTGTCCATGAATCATTCCAGGAAAGATTTTGCTCAGTTAGCATTTTTGTTGTGAATGAAACTATAAATTACTTTCTGCTTAAAAAAGAGTTGTTTTTCTTAATTGCAAATGAATACTGATTGATATTTATGAAAATAAATCTACTGGTGTTACTGAAACCCCAAATTCATAAAAGCATCTAAAAATAAAAGTCAAGTTACTAACAAAGGATTAATAATTAACCTACTGTAAACTTAGCAGCAACAGTAGAAGCCAAAACACAGTGAACTGTTATCTTCACTAGAAGTCTTGGAACATACCCCATGAATATCAGAGGAGACTAATGTGTACCTCACTAAAAAGACCTAAAAGATACTCTTCAGAAGTGTGTGTTGGTTACTTTTCTCTTATTGCTGGGACAAAACACCCAATACTCAAAGATAAGGAAGGAAAGATTTGTTTAGCTTACAGTTTGCAAAGGTTTCAGTCCATAATTAATGGGCTCCAAGACAGGGTGGGCAACAGTTCATTGCAGCAGAAAATAGCAGAAGAAACAAGAGCAAGAATAGGAACAGAACAAGCCTCTTTTCTTCTGTTACATTGTATGCAGCCTCCACCCCTAGGATGGGTCTTTTACACCCACACCATCTCCTTGCACTCCTCATACAACAGCTCAGGATGCCCCTTGCTAAATCACTTAGTTAAATTTTTAAACTTCACAAGTTGACACAATATATCAACTGTTACAAGGAGCAAGAACTGAGATGCAAGAACAAGAGAGAATAAAAAATGATAAAGCAATAAGAATATTTGAACAAAATATTGCAACTGTTTAAAATAAATGTATAATTTGAGACTGAAAAATACACAAAATGAAACTAAAATGATAGGCAAAATAGCATGTAAGATAGAAAGGGATGACCAAAGTTTTCTTAAAGCTCTTATTATTTAGTTGTTACATGTACAATTTCAATACCCACTAAAAAGTAACTGATTTTCTAATATCTTCCAAGAAAAGAGAAGAGTTAATGCGATTCTAAAAACTGAATCCAAAAGAAATTTGGATTAGAAATTTTAATAATACACAAAAATTTAAGGTATTATTTAAAGCAAATATGTTCTCTGTATCAGTAATAAAATATTTAACTTACAAAAATTTGACAGAATTACAAAGATAATACTCCTTTATGTGGAGATTTTTCTAACTCAGTAACAGGAAAAACAATCTCAGTGACTCAGACCAAAAAAATGAATAAGGATATAGATAAAATCTGAGTAACAATAACCAAATTGTCTCATACTCTTAGTAATTAAAGCATGCATAAGGAGCCAGTTGCAGTAGTGCACCTGTAATCTCAGATCCTTGGGAAGCTGAGGCAGAGGGGATTATCAGTTCAAGGTCCATCTGAGCAAGACACTGAAAATAAAGTGAAAGCCAATGTATTAGTCAAGGCTCAGTAACAGATGAAGCAATACAATAAATATATCATATATAAAGTAGGCTCACAGTGGCTGCCCACAAGATCAGGTGTGGAAGAATGCAGAAGGGCTGTCTGTGCAGGCAAAGGTGGAAGATTTGGTGCTAACTACAGAGTCTCATTGGAAGAGAGGCTGAATTGAAGCATTGAAAGGCTGAAGAGTGCGCTGGGAGGCTGAAGGGTCTGGAAATGGTAATGAAGATTAAAACTCCTGCCAAGAAACAGAAGTGAGACTCCTTCTTCCCCTTTTTATTCCATGCAGGCAGCAAGCCAACTGACTGGTATCACTGACCCCAGGATGGGTTTTCTATCTTCATTAAATCCATTCAGCCACACCTAGAACTATATTAATTCAATCAGTTGGGCATTTCTTACTTAAATTGATACAAAAGTTAACTATCACAGTCAGTCGCTTCTCAAGCATTCATGAATTATTGTTAAATATACCAGATACTAGTTTTAGAGCAAACTCAACAAACTTTAAACAGTTGATGTTGTGCACATTATCTGGGTACAGGGTAGTTAACTTAATGAAACCATTCATCATAGCCCATGTGTTTGAAAGCTCAGTACTTAACAGCTCCAGTTATCAGAAACTGGAACAATAAGCTCACTGAACCTAAGAAGTTCAAGGCCAGTCTAGGCAACACAGCCAGACTTTGTCTCAAAAACCACCTCACATCGAATACTCAAGGGGTGAAAAAAAGGAAATAATACTGGAAAAAATGCATAGAATTAAATTACAATGAAAACACTACACATCAGATTTGGACATAGCTAAAGTGGTTCTTTGAAGATATTTATAATCTAAATGTTTCCACTAGAAATCGATTGAAAATTAATAAACTAAACATCTAACTTCAAGAACCAGAAACCAGCTGGGCATGCTGGTACATGCCTATGATCCCAGTACTCCAGGAGTCTGAGGCAGGAAGATCACAAGTTTGAGCCCAGCATGAGCAATTGAGTTACTTGCCAAATCCCGTCTCAAAAAATAAAAGATAAATGGGCATGGGAGGCAGCTCAATGTGAAGGCACTGGGTTCGATCCCCAGAACAAGAAATTGAGGGAGGGAGGGAAGGAAAGAAATAGTAAACTTAAGAAAAGTAAAGAATAGAAATAATCAGGGGCAAAAATTAATTAGCGAAAGAGATAACACAGTTTTTAAAGTAATCTGGTATCTAATTTTGCTTCCTTCTAAATCTACTAAGATTACTACAAAAATATTAAAAGGCATAAGCTTAAAAAGACAAAAATGTTTAGAAGCTGGGAAGCAGACTGCTGTTAGCTTCCTTAAATTGCCCCAGGAAAGCCAATCCTAAAGCAGGAACTCTCAGTGATATAAACCACCTGGAAGTTTTTGCATTCTGTGTTTGGAATGCCTAATGTCACCTAAATTCCTTATTTTGATGTGGTACTTACATGTTCAACAATGCCTGACAAAAATACATCTAGGTAGATTATTTACTATTTCTAAAGTAAAACTTCAGATTTTTGCAATTGATCAGTTCTATGGAATGTATGACAAGATCTGAGCAGAAAGTTGAGTCTTAAACCCAAAAGGTTAAATATTGGGATTCCCCAACTGTTAGCCAAGCAAAATAGTGACGATTACTAGTTCAGAGACTTCACATGCTTAGGGCTATAATCACCTTTTTAGTTTCCCTTTTTAGACTCCTAAAAGTGAAGAGAAAATGCCTAATATAAGCATATCAAATATAAAAGATAGAGACCAAAACAAGTAACAAAGAAAAAAAATCAACTTGGAAGAACCAGTTTATGCAGGAATAAGAAAATATCAGAGAGAAAAAATCAATCCATTAATATTCCCCCAGGTAATACTGTTCCTGTGAATCAAAATAGGATGCTAAATTGGGCATAGTGGCACACACCTATAATTCCAGCACTTGGGAGACTGAGGCAGGAGGATTGCTGCGAGTTTGAGGGCAGCCTAGGCTACATAGTGAGTTCAAGGCAACCCAGAATCAGACACTGTCTCAAAAAAATAAAAAACAAAGAATAGGATGCTGTTTTAAAAAGGAAGATTTAGAAAATCTCAAAACATTTAAAAAAATATAACCGTGATAAAAATGAGAAACTGAATTGAAGGATTTGAAAGGTCCAGTTTAAAAAATCCACTTTGGAGCTGGGGATGTAGCTCAGTGATAGAGCAATTGCTTATCATGAGTGAGGCCTTGCATTCAGCACCTAGGAAAAACAAAAAAAAACAAAAACCTATGAATGCAGGATAAAATAAAGAAAGCAATAGAAGGAGGAAAAAACTGAAAATAGAAGAGATCCTTGAGGAATATTACTAAATAGGTGTGTGTGTGTGTGTGTGTGTGTGTGTGTGTGTGTGTACTGGGAATCAAACTCTGCTACTTGCCAGGCAAGCACCATAGCGCTGAGCTACATTGCCCAGGCCATGAGTAGATAATGTTAAGCCAGAATAAAAGAACCAGTCTTTAAAAGGGAGTCATGGCCCACGAATGTATAGCTCAGTGGTACAGCACCTCCCTGGCAAGCAAGACATCCTGAGTTTGATTCCTGGGTACCTGCTATAAATAAGTAAATAAATGGGAAGCAGAGGACAGATAAAATGGAAATGAAGAAGCCACAGACATGACTCAAGAAAATACAGTTGAAGGACATGAGTTACTGGATTGAATACCCACCACAGTTGATGGAATAGATCCATAATAGTTGTGGAATCCTGTAACAAGGAAAATCCCACAACTTTATAGAGTTGAGAGGCAAGAGGACATATTGTAAGGTCAGAAATCAGAATGGCTTTGAAGTTGCCAAAGCAACATTAGAAATTGGAAGATAGATCAGTGATCTCAAATTTCTAAGGAAAAATTATTTATATCCTGTAATTCTAGAGTCAACCAAACTTATATGGAGCAAAACATTTTTCCATTTAATAAAACTCATTCTGACATTTACATGGTATGCAAAAGATCTAGAATGGCTAAAAGAACAAAGAAGACTTGGTCTGGGGTGTAGTTTAGAAGTAGAGCTTGTGCTTAGCACACAAGACCGAGGTTCCATTTCCAGCACAAAAAGGAAGAGGAGCTTAACCCTATGTAAGTGACTATATGCTGCACCAATTAAGATAATGTTGGTACTAAGGATGAAGTTAAGATCAGTACAACATTTAAAAACAGACCTGTACACCATGGTCTTTAGTAAACAGGCAAAGGAGTGGAGAAAGATTCACCTTTTCAACAATTTTGTGGAAAAGTGGAATATCCTTTTTTTTTTTTTTTTTTAGAACTAATCCAACTCAGGACCTTCCACTTGCCAGGCAGGCACTTGTGCCACTGAGCTATATCCCTGGCCCCAAAAGTGGAATATTCTTGTGAAAACAATAAGCTTTTTATTTTTGCTTAAGTTTGGAAATCTTTTTTTTTGCTTTGTTTTTGTGGTGCTGGAAATTAAATCCAGGCCCTTGCATATGTAAAGCAAGTACTATACCCCTGAGCTTTAGTCCAGACTCCATTATAAAAATTTAACTACTAAAAGTGAATCAAAAATTGAATTAATAAAAATGAATCATATTCCTGAACATAAAAGCTAAAATTATAAGACTTGTAGAAAACACAAGTTTTTGCAACCATTAAATAATGACTTGTTAATTAGGATACAAAAAATATAAACCATAAAAATAAAAATCATTGGCAATAAGATACTTCTTAAGATGAGGACTTTCTTGGCTTTAGGAAGTAGCAGTTGCTAGCAGTGGCCCAGGGGTTCCTGGTAGCCAACCAGAGATGATATTTCAAGTGGACCATTGAGCTGAGCAGGACTGGAAGAGGCAGCAATGGCCAAAGTAACCAGAGCAGTGTCCAGGGAGGTTCACTGTACCAAGTCAGATACTACTTAGACAAGTGCCAACTACTAGCGTGCAGTAGACAGACTGTCATTTACATGGGATGCAGAGGATCTCCTGGTGGAGAAGTGCTGCTGGCAGTTGCTTTGGTTCTCCTCAGAGATTCTCAGGAACCTCCTCAGCATGTACATGCAGGCAATGTTCTGTCCATGTCACCTGCTACCATGGTGTGTATGATGGAACCATTTGGGTGCTTATGGGCATTTTAACCACTTTCAAGATACTAGAAAGCTCAAACTAGCAATTTCCTGAGGGCTCGATGTATCTCATTGGGAACTCAAAGGGTTTGGCATTGGCTGTATACAAATCCAGTTTATCAGACTGTTACCTACACCTCCATCAGACTAGTTTGTTCTTATTTGGGGGGCAGGGGTTTGTTGTTGTTTTGTTTTGTTTCGTTTTGTGTTTGTGCCAGGAATCAGACTCAAGACCTTGCACTTGTCAGGCAGGTGCTTGTGCTACTGAGCTGTATCCCCAGCCCCAGACTAGTTCTTTTATCAGGTCCCTAAGAGGATAGAGTTTAGAGCAGAGGACTGCTTTTGGGAAATGGAGAAAGAAGCACCCAGTGCCTAAGTATTTGGGCCTTGTTTACTTCTTTCTTTAAGCCCAGTGGCTCCTAAGTGTACTCACTCTTTAGATAAGCACTCATGTTAAAAAGAACCAAAAAAATCTCTTTTTTCCATGCTGAGGAGACAGATCCTAGAAGGACAATGTTCTTTTTTTTTTTTTTTTTTTTTTTGTCTTTTTCCTTTTCATCGGTACCAGGGATCGAACTCACGACTGCCTGCTTGCAAGGCAGGCACTTATGTGGCTGAGCTAAATCCCCAGCCCCAACAATGTTCATTTTACTATAGAGCAACTGTACTGCAGCCCTTGACCAAAAATGATATAGAAAACTTTATGGTCCCACTACAGAGTAAAACAACAAACAAAACCAAAACTGTATGTAAATCAAAAAAAAAAAAAAAAAAAGTTGCTAAACCAAGAACCATCCAGCATGTCCTTCTAGTGGTTGAAAGCTGGGCATAGTGTCACATATCTGTAATCCCAGCACTTGAGGCTGAGACAGGATGATCTCTGTGAGTTTGAAGCCAGCCTGGGGTACATAGTGAGACCCTGTCTCCAAAAAAAATTTTTTAAAAGAACCAAGTAATGGGGGGCTGGGGATTTAGCTCAGCGGCATAAGCGCCTGCCTTGCAAGCAGGCAGGCGTGAGTTCGATCCCCGGTACCGATAAAAAAAAAGAAAAATAAGTAAATAAAAGAACCAAGTAATTCAATGTTTGAGAACAATAAAAAATAAAAATTGAAAAATTGAACTTCATGAAAATTATAAATGTTTGGCAGTCCCAATAGTGAGCACTTGGTAGTACCAGCTAACCAGGCAACTGGGAAAGAAGGACGGCTTAAATCCAAAGAAGGCAAGACTTCATCTCAAAAAATAAAAATACGACAAAATTTTGTTCTTCAAGACAGCATTCAGAAAATTAAAGGCAAGTCACAGGCATAGAGAAATCATCTACAAAATGTGCACCCAACAAAGACTTACATATAGAATATATAACTTATACAATTCAGTAAGGCAGATAAGCACTGTCAGAGAAGACATGGATAACAAATAAGTACCTGAGAAACTGGTCAGTAATATTAGTCATTAGGGAAATGCATATTAAAAGCCCAGTGAAACACTACTGTAGTGGTAGAATACCACTGCTAGAACAGCCAAAGTGAAAAGAACTGACACAGCAAGTGTTAATGAAAATGTGGAACAACTGAAACGTTTATGCATGGCTGATGGAAATGGAAATTGGTGCCAGTACTTAGGAAAACATTTGGGGAGGCACGGAATACATCTTGGGGTTCCATCTCCAAGACCACATAAAAGGGAGAAACAGTCAGCATTATATTAAAAAGTCAAATATTCATGTGTCGTACATCCCAGCCATTCCACTTTCCCAAGAGACATGAAAGCATATTTCTGTACAAGTCTTAATCATGAATGTTCATAGTTTCTTTATTTGTAATGGCTGAAAGCTAGAAACAAAAATTCCACCAGTATTTGGCTCTTGTTTTGTTTATTTTTGAGGCAAGGTCTTGCTATATAGTGAGACTCCTTGAACTCACTATGTATCCCAGGTTGACCTCGAACTCACAGCAATCCTGCTGCCTCACCCTCCCAAGTACTAGGACTACAGGCATGTGCCACCATACCTGGCTCCACCAGCATTTGGACAAATAAACAAATTGTGCTGTAACCATATAGTGCAATGTTACTCAGAAATAAAAGAGAATGAAATATCTACACACATAACAACATGGATGAATTTCAAAACAGGAAATGAAAGAAGATATACAATATGTTTACATGTTATAGTTCCCTTTTTTAAATAATGCAAACTAAACTTTTGGAGGTGACAGACATTTTGATTACGAGGTAGTTTCATGGGTATATACACATACATTCACCAGATGTATACTTTAAATATACAGTATACAATTTATCTTATAGAAGCTATATAAAATAAATAAGCTGCTATTCCTGTTTTCACTAACTCACCATGCTTCAGATTCTCCAGCAGTGAAGTGAAAAAGAATACCTGCCTCAAATGTTGTATTTGAAGATTTGGTGAGGGGAGGATATGTGTTTGAGTATCATTATCAGGCCTTGGCTTTCTGCAGACCACTTATAACCAGTTATGTATCTACTTACTTGTTTACCTCCCCCAACTATATTATATGTTCACCGAGTCAGAGATATTGTCTTCACTGCTACTGTCTCACAGGCTCAGAACAATGCTTGGCACATAGTAAGCATTTAATACATATTATTAAGTGCATGTTATTTCTAATCATTCATCCTTCTGTCTCTTCCATGGTGTGAAAAAAATTGTTGGGTGCTTATGGATTATCTTCCAGAAATACTGAGCAAAGCTTTTGTGGCTTATTTTTTTTCAGTATCTTTTAATGGTTAAAAACATTTAGCAGATACACAGACTTGGGAGTTTGAGGCAGGAAGATCACTTGAGCAGTACAAGGTCAAAGTTGGACAATATAGGAAGACCCTGTTTCTGTAAAATATGTGTGTTTATGTGGGGGGTAGACACACATACATTAAAGAATTTAATAGATTTTTCTTTTAATGCTAATAGAAACCTTTCCTTCTCGTGAAAATGTTGGCTTCAATTTCTGATCACGGTATGACTTGGAAATTTTTCATTTTGATTTTCTTTTTTCCCCACAGGGTTTATCCATGGCTTAGAGGGCTGGGTTATACATCCTTGGGTATATTTTTATTGGGATTTTTATTTTGGAACATAGATAATATCTTTTGTGATTCACTGAGGTAAGATATATTTTATTCCTTGAGAAATATTCTTAGAAGCATTCTATTAAACAGAATTTCATAGACATATAGAAATATCAATACCCTAAAATGAATTTTTGTAGTGTTGATATTTAGAAGGTATGTACAACACAATAAAGTTAAATTCTAGAAATAGCCTATTTAAATTACTTAAAAGTTTGAACCTGAGAGTATTTTATTACCTCTAAAGGCTTTGGTATTTTGTGTGCATGCATCCTACAACTGTACATTATTCTCATTTTGACCACATCTTTCCCATATTCCTAGTCTGCTTTATTGAGTAAATAAAAATGATTTATAAAGAAAATTATTTATGGGATGGGGATTTAGCTCAGCAGTATAAGCACCAGCCTGCCAAGCACAAGGTCATGAGTTTGATCCCCGGTACAAAAAAAAAAGTGATTTGTAACAAGCATTTGAATACATATATATAAATTTTCACTTTTATATGGTTAATGTTCTTTTCTAAGAAAGGTTAGTATTACTTTTACCGTCTTGTCAGCAATTATGTATTGATAAGTTTGAATATTAAACTTAGGGCTCTGGACTTTAACCACGATTATCTTTCTGGCCTCGGCTTTCCTAAAATGAGTGTACTAAACTAAGTAGATTAAATTAATGGGTCATGCTCACTAAAGATTCTGTGATCCAACAATTCTGCATAAACGTTGAGGATGGGGACATATCAAATAGCACCACAGGATGGTATAAATCAGTAAAATTCAGACTGGCAACATTTACAGATTAAATGACCTGATTTCTGTGGCAAATAAACTACAGGGTGGTGTGGGGGACAAAACAGGACATATGGATAAGAAATTTAAGAGCTGTATTAACTAAATGCAATGTTAGCCCTTTTTTTTTTTTTTTTTTTTTTTGTCTTTTTCCTTTTTAGCGGTACTGGGGATCGAACTCACGACTGCCTGCGCGCAAGGCAGGTGCTTATGCCGCTGAGCTAAATCCCCAGCCCCTATTGTTAGCCCTTTTTAAAATCCTGATTCAAATAAACCAACTATAAAAAATATATATATATAGGGCTGGGGATTTAACTCAACAGCATAAGCGCCTGCCTTGCAAGCATGCAGTCATGAGTTTGAACCCTGGTACCAAAAAATAAAAAAAATAAAAACTTATGGGAAATTTGAAACTCAGGTCAGTAAACTAAATATTGATGATATTAAAGAACTGTTATTTAGCTGAGGTGTGAAAATGGTTTTATGGTTATGTGGTCATATTTTAAAGTTTTTTTAAAGAAGCTTTTATCTTTTAAAGATACATACTCAAATATTTAGAGATAAAATAATACACTATCTGGGATTTACTTCAAAGTAAAATGGGGAGGAGAAATGGATAAAGGTTTGAACCTAAATTAATAATGATTGGCATTGGGTAATAGATATATTATTTTTTGTCTACTTTGGCACATGTGTGAAATTCTCTATAGTAAACATTAAGAGTAAACTTAGACTTTAAGAGTAAACAAACAAGTGGGGCACGGTGGCGCACTTCTGTCATGGCAGCACTCAGGAGGCTGAGGCAGGAGGATTGTTGTAAGTTCGAGGCCAGCCTGGGCCACAAAGTGAGCTCAAGGCCAGCCTGATTAGTGAGACCCAGACTGCATAGTGAGACCCTCATCTCAAAAATATTTAAAGAAAAAAAAAAGACAAATAATGCACCTTACTTAGAAAACTAAGATCTAAGTATATAATTCTAAATCAGGAATAACCAGCAGAACCTCTATCAGAGCTTTCATACTAGGGACTGGGGATTTAACTCAGCAGCATAAGCACCTGCCTGGCAAGCGCGAGGTCAAGAGACCAATCTCCGGTATCGCATAAAATAATAATAATAGAGCTTTCATACTGCTAAGAAGGTCATCATTCCCTAAGTGAGAACCACTAGCATATAATACAAGCTCTTAAAGATGGTAACTGTCTCAAAAATTCATGGAGATATCTAGAAAAATAATTTGACATGTGGAATAGGTTTCTCTCCTCTAAGAAATGTTAAGACAGTCTATACACTTAATCAAAAAGATCTATAATGTGAGACATACTTGTGCCACTAGCTGAGTAACTTGCATAGCTCAGTTCTCTGAATTTTAAGTTCCTAATCTGCTCAGCAAAGCTAATAATAGCTTTCTCAAAGAATCACTGACTATGAGATGAAATAATAAATATTAAAGGATTTTTTTTTGAGACAGGGTCTCACAGGTTGGCCTTGAACTCACTATATAGCCTAGGGTAGCATGAATTTGCAGCATTCCTCTTGCTTCAGCCTCACAAGTGCAGGTGTGTGCCACTGGACAGATAGGAAAGGATTTCATAGAATATGTGGTTCTATACCAAGGTGATAAAAAAAGAGCATATATCCTATTTCTCAAGTAGATAGCTAACTAGCTAACTAGACAGGTGTTTCCCAAAGTGGATTCTAGAAAATACTTGTGTCATGAAGTGATAATAAGTATGACCTGAAAAAAATAAGTTCCATGTATTAGTAGTTTACCTGAAAAAAATAAACTCCTTTATTTATGGTAGGACTTTCCAAAGCCTTTCATTATTACTGCACATTAAAAATCTTTTTAAGAGGGCAATAAACTTTATAATGTTTCTTACATTAATTTGAATACAGTTATTTCTAGTAGAAGTTCTTACTAGAAATTATATTTCTCATAATACACTTTGAAAAACAACACAGACTGGAGGAAATTAAATAATTAACATATTTAAGAATGGTATTTCAAAATGCTTTTAACACTGTCAGCATTTAACTTGGTGATCCACCCCCTCATAGGAACTTTCGAAAGAAGATGCCACCTATCCTAGGTGTTACCACACAGTTTCATGCATGGTGGCATATTTTAACTGGCCTTGGTTCTTATCTTCACATCCTTTTCAGGTATGAAACATTTAAATCTGGTATTGGAGGTATTTTACTTTTTTTCTCCTTTGAAAAGAATGGTTTAAGTATAAAATGTCACAGTATCAGGAATTTATGTTCCAATTTTGCCTCTGATACTGGATGACGTTAGAAAGTCCCTTTTATTTGGGTTCTATTTTTAATTATTTTTTATTTTTATTAGTACATTTTTGCAGTACATGATGGTTGCATTCATCATAGAGAGCTGGTATATGTGCATAACACATCTTAATTCTTTTTATTTCCCCTTCCTCTCCCTTTTCTGCATCTGCCCCAGTCTCATGCCCCCCCCATTTCCAAAAGATCTTATCCCTGTTTCTTATTATCCATCTTTAATTTTGCTTTTTAAATTATTTACGGATTTCTCATATAAAAGAAATATTTGTAATACTTAAGCTTTTGTGTCATTCATTTCACGTAGCATTATTGTTTTAAAGTGCATTCATTTTCCTACAAATGACTCAAATTTATCCTTGTATGGCAGAATTGTACACCATCATGCTGTTTTCTCATCCTCAAGTAAGGATAGAACATACCAAGCATTAATGGGATGGTCACTACTAAATTATAAACATCCTGAGGTTATTTTCCTGCCTTCCTTAGCATCTTGTCAAATGTTTTGCAGGGGAAGATAATCCAAAAAATACTTAACTTACAAAACTTATACCAATATTTGTTCCTTATATATACAAAGGCACTTTGGTTAAATTTGTCAGTAAACCAATTTGTAGGCATTAAAAATTAGCCTGATGAGTTTTCCCTTTCCCCTTCTCTTTCAGCTTATATACAAGAACATTGTACCTGAGATACAGGCCCAAAGTAAAAGTAAGTCCACATCCTAAAGGAGAGAGAGAGAGTGCGTGTGTGTGCATATTGGTAAAGGAGGGTATTGAGAGGATGGGATGGATGAGAAGAAAGGGGTCAGTCATAGAGCAAACACAAGCTTTGAATTTTACGTGTGACTGCATGACCTCAGACAAGTCTCTTACTTAAGCCTGAGTTCCTTACACAATAAAAGGGAGTTCCTAATAGCTACATTGTATAGTTGTTTTAAGGAATAGAGATTATTTGTCCATTTCCATGCTTGACACATTTATAGATGCTTGATACATTTAACAAGTTAAATGAAAGTGGTATCCAAGATCTAGTGCAAGTCTGGAAGGAGTATGCTGTGGTTAGGCCTCATAACAATAGGACAGTCACTAGCAAACCTACCATGCACTATAGTCACAGCCCAATGGGGTTTTTTATTTTTTGTTTTATCTTATTCCTTTCATGGATAACAATGTGGAGCAGTTTTCTCTCATTTTGTCCTAACTTGTTTTTCACAGTTTTTCTTTGGAATCTGGCCAGTGATCATGTTTGAGCCTCTCAGAAAGCACTGATGGCTATTCTATGAAGAGAACAAAAAAATATCTACATAAGTCTAGCAGGATGATGAGAAATCCCTAAAAGTCAATATATTCAAATACACCATGACCATCACAACAGAAGAGCAACTTTCCAACTAGTGCTGCCAACCACACAGAGAATGAGGAATTGACACTGGTTGGTGTTCTGCTCCTGGCTGTATCTTATTTGTCCTCTTCGTCCTCATCTTAAAATGTTTGTAAAGAAACAGATTATTATATGTATTTATGTTCTAGAGTACTAGGGAAATTGGGCTTTTCTTAACAGGTTAACAATTTGTGCTGGTTATAAGAAATTAACTTTTTTCTCTTTTTTGATAAAGATTCCATGTGAATTATATTTTTTCTAATATTTTATTAAATAAGTAAGGACTAGCAAAGTCTGATGTCCAAAATGGTCTTCTGTGAGCCAGCATTTAGCTGTGTGTCAGCCTTGATTTATACTGTTGTCATGTTAACCTCATGGACGGTTTCCCAACATTTTTTTTAAAAAGCTAGTTTTGGGATTCTAGGTGGTTTTTCCACTGTCGTCTTTCAGTGCTACACAGAGTATCATAAGCAAGCTCAGACCTACCGCTAGGTTCTATAATTGTCATTTCCCAGGATTTGCTGTGGGTTCTAAGGCACAAGAACAAATGAAGCTACTAAGAACAATGGATCTAGTATCCTTCCTGAAGCTCCTCCAGGACATCTAAAAAATCTTACACCTTCAGCCAGTTGAAGGTGGTTGCTCTGTCTCCTTTGGCGCATCTTTAAATTGCCACTCTTTTTATGTTAAGGCAAACAAAATTGGTCTAGCCACCAATATTAGAATATTTATATTCTACTCTTCTAGTCTAATTTACTTGAAGTTATCAGGGAATGTCATAAAACTAAAACTGTTTTCTTTTTATGTAGTATTTTCCAGTTTTCAGAGAGGCCATGTTTATACCTAGAGAAGTATGTCAAATTAACTGAAGTAAAATGGTGAGGATCCTAGTTCCATAAAATTTATTAAAATATCTGCTCATCATTTTTAATTGTTTGTTATTTTGTTTGTGGTACTGAGAATCAAACATAGGGCTTTACACATGTAACTCTAGTATTGACTATATCCCAGCTCCAGCATCTTCTTTTTTAAAAGGAAATACAAGCATTGAGAACAGCTCTAACATATTTTTAAGGGAGATACAAGCATTGAGAGCAGCTCTAACTTATAATTTGAAGAACAGCCAAAAATTAAGAGTACTAAGAAACAGCAGTAAAATCTCATTATAAAGCAGCTAGTTCTAATTTGAGTGTATAACAAATTGAATCATTTAAAAAAAAAAAACCCTGATACAATAAGTCCCCATTTTGGGAGGTTTGTAAGTTGGATTCCTTCATAAGGCTGACAAAGTGAATCTTACACACTTTTGACATAAAAATACAGTGTGAAACATAAGAAAAACATAAATATATATAAATATAGTAAAGTTCTGGACTGTTCTGAACTGTTCTCTACAGCAGTACACTAACACGCTGTATGGTAACCACACAGCAGCACAACTGTGACAATGTCCAGCAGACATGTGAACCACTTCCCTGATTTGTTATCTGGGTGTGGTAGCACATACCTGTAATCCCAGCTGCTTGGAAGGCTGATGCAAGAGGTTTATGAGTTCAAGGCAACTTAGTAAGACCTCAAAAAATAAAAAGGAAGTCTGGGGAATATCTCAGTGCTTGCCTATTGAGTGCTTGCCTAGCATGCACAAGGTCCTGGCTTGATCCTCAGTACATAAAAACAAACTTATTTAGGTGCAAAATCCTGACTTTCAACTATGTTTACTTGTAACACTTTGGGTTATTACTTTTAATTAATTCATTTTATGCCATTATATTTTTATACTGTTCAAATATTCTTCTGTATAAAGAATCCATAAATAGGAACAAAGCCACAGCCCTCATGACAATATGATTTGGAAAACAGAATTTCTGCAGTGTTAAAGTCAGACTGAGTATGGAATACACCTTGAGACTGACACAATTTAGAGCAGTTTGTTGATTGTGCAATTCAAATACCACCACCCACAGTCAATTGTTGAATAAAACAGTTCTATACTTCACTTACAAAGGTATTTGCATCCTCAAGTGATAGGTAAGACTACAGCCAATTCTTTAAAAATCTTTATTTCTGTTGGGAGTACAGACAGCATGAAAGCTCAGGGTAAAACATTTTAGATGTTTTGAGCAGAAAGGAGAAATGAACCCAGAGTTTAATTTTCCAAGTTAGTTTGTGCCTCATACAATAGCTCTGTTATTAAAAATGAAGTGATATGTTCACAACTTTGTGCCATGTTATACAGAAATCACTGCTGCCCTATGAGTCACAACTCATAATTAGCAATAGCTAATTCACTTTTATTTCCATGGCTTTGTTTTTACCTTCTTGGATTAGGCATAGATATAACTAGGTTAAGTGCTTACCCACCCTCCCCTCCTGTTTGCTTAGAAAGCTTCCTGTTAACTACAGTGTAGTTAGAGCTTATTTCCTACTGAGCAAATAATTGTTTGTTTGCATCTCACCAGATGTGAAAGGTGCTCATTTATAAACCCAGAACAAATTACATTTTAGAAAACATTAATACTATGTGAGGATATAAAAGAGGTCATTTATTTGCATGCTTGAATATTCTGTATTACCATTTTCACTCTAGAAAATTGAAACCAATTTGACTTCTTTTAAATGGAAAATCAGGGGAAAGGTGCTTGCGCTAATTGTATTGGTCACTTTACCAACTTCCTCGCAAATTTGGCACCTTCATAAAATATTCCCATTCCCTGATGATTGATGATTACCAGAGAGATGATTTGTTTTTTAATGATCTATAAACAGGAACCCAGATGTCATTTATTTTAATAGAAGTAGTTCATATGTAACAATTTAGACCTAAGGTAGAATTCCAGGACAATCTGGGATTTCCTTACACAAGGAATGTTCTTGTTACACTAAAGAGAGATGTGAGTGAAAGAAACTTCAGTACACAGTGCATGGAAATTTTGAGAGCCTATAAAAATTACATTCTACTATTATGCCAGCACATTCTAAATTTAGCCAATGCTTAGGCAATGCTCCTAAGTGTGTATAACTTACTTTAAGGCTTTCTTATGAAAGCCTTAAATATGGGTTCCATATTACTTTGCTTTTGAAAGCTATTTATCACAAATTTAAATTTAAGTGACAGGACACTCTTGTGGTTTATGCTGTACTACTGGTTAAGCATTCATACAATACTGATATTTCAAGAAGAATCAGTTATAATTGGAATTGGCAACTGTGTGGCAGATCTACCTGTGTCTTAACATTTTACTTCATTTCATAGAATGATGTAACTAGTTTGACCACTTTGCCTTTTTTTCATTGTCTAAAATGACAGCTTATTCACTGAGCTCTAATCATTGCCAGTATCAAAAATCTGGTCAAATATACTTAAAACCCTTTATGGCAGGAACTGTAAAATGAAAAAAAAAAAGAATGAGGTCATCATGATCCATCAGACTGAAAAATGTCAATGCTGTATTTGTTTTTCTTATTTTATTCTTGAGACAGGATCTTCTTATATAGTTTGGGCTGCACTTGAACTCTAGATCCTCCAATCTCAGTTCCTGAAGTGCTAGAATTATGGGTGCGAACTTACATGCCAGGCTTCAGTGCTGATTTGTTTAGAGTTGGAATTTCTTTGGGTGGGGGGGGCGGCGCGGAGATGAACCCAGGGCCTTCTGCATCCTCAGCCTTTTTTATTTTTTTGACACAGGGTTCCATTAAGTTGCTCAAGCAAGGCCTGAACTTGCAATCTTCTCAGCCACCCGAAGTGACAGTGGTGGTTTTTTTAAGGAAACTATAGAACAACACAGAGACAGACCTTGCCTGTTTGCAGTGGGAGGGTTGCTGTTGTTGCTGAGGTCTGTATGAGCATACCACCAGACTTAACCTTTTCTCCAAAACTGTCAGCCCATTCAACCTTATATAATGATACTGCTTCACCTGAAAGTCACACTAAAGATAAAACTCTGGCTTTGACTACATTCTTTTCTTTTAAGTGTTAAATCTTAACAGTATTGAAGGAAAAGTGGAAAAACTGTGAAGGATAACAAGTTTCATCATGTCTTTTCTCTGACAGGCTATCACAGCAACTAGGGAGGAAACAGCACTAGAACAACTAGGGAGGAAAAATATTGTTAGCTACAGAATTTCTGCTGCTATTGATGTCCAGGGAACTATTTGGAGTAAAAGCTAAAGCAGTATTGACTCATTTTAATGCACTGTAAATATGTAATTATCATTAAATACAGCAAATTCCAGCCTGTTTTGATGGGCAGCTAGTATAGAAAAGATTGATCCTCAAATTATCATATTATTTATCATCATATTTTTTAACACTAGAAAATCCTAAAACCCAAATCAAAAAATTAAATTATAGGTCTGCAAAGTATCCTAAATCCCTCCCATTCTCTTCAGCTCAGCAGCTATCAGGATGATGGCACTAAGTACCTGTTATGTTCTGTGCTCTGCTCATTGTGACCTGCTTTAATGCTGTGAAGTGTTGATACTGGAACTAGATTTAGTCCTTAGTAACAGGAATTTTCACAGAATTGTCGTACAGCTTCCAAAACTTTTCTGGCAATGTCAAATCTAAAGTTGCAGCAAAACACATTAGAGAAATCTTTTAAACATATGAAGATAGTTCTGTGTAAATATTCATTCTGAGATCATCTGCACCTGTGAGAAAATTTATTATAATATCAAAGGCCTTCTGATCAAAGGTTGGCAAACTATAGCTCCAATAGCAAATCCAGTCTACAGTTGTGTAGTCTACAAATGGAACCTACATTTTGAAAGTATTGTATAAACAAACAAGAAGAATGTGAGCTAGAAATTACATATTCTCAGGCTCTGGCTCTGAGAATTTGCTTCCCCTGCTCTAGACCATCAGCAAATACTATGTGTAAGTATAGTAGTCACATTTCTCTGCAAGATGATTCTAGTGTGCATTTGTCAGAAGGAAAATATTTCATAAGGTTTCCCTCAGTTCTTTGTTAGTGTAATCATAGGACTGTTTAATATTCATGCTGTAAAACTATTTTTCACATCAGTTTTACTGGATTGGTAACAGCCTACTTCAGAACACCTAAACCTCTAAGAAAACATTACTGTGAGCAAAGTCCATGGTTTTGTTTTCATTATAAAAAAATTCTGTTTTATACTGTGAAATCTGAAATGCTAATTACATTCCACTTTTGTTTTGGCTATATGTATATTTTTATGTCCTTAAACAGCTGTGTGGGAATTGTCAAGGCTAAATATACTACGTTGGTCATGTACACTTTTCTCCCCTAAAAGAAAAAGGTCCATGTCTTTTGCATAATTAGTTCTGGTTTCTTTGGGGGGCTTTTCTTTTTAGAGCTGACTCATTCATACTACTGAATAAGTTGACTCTTTTAAGAAAATAGAGGCCATTTATCAATTCCTGTTTAACATATTGATTGGGAATTTCTATACTTTTAATATTTCTGAGTCACTTATGACCAACAGGTAATCTATTCAAGCTGTGTTTTCTAGTTTCATATTTTTGCAGATGTTTTATCTACTAGCAATTATGTAATAAACATAGATTGTACTGAAACTGTACAAGAAAGTAACCATTCTCAGGTAATATCAAATCTGCTTATTCACTTTTTATATTTAATTTGCCTATGTCATACTCATTTTTATAGAAAAAAGAATAGTGGGCTGGGGATTTAGTTCAGTGTAATAAGCACCTGCCTGGCAAGTGCGAGGTGGTGAGTTTGTTCCCCGGTACCACAAAAAAAAAAAAGTATATTTTTATCTAATCTACAATAATTTAGGCTATATTTCAGCATTCAATAACTATTGTAGGGAAAATATTAAATGATATTATCTTGATTAAAACTTGTAATATTTTACCCCTGCTTTATATCTAACATATCTATGCATATAAAAGGCAGGCTGCTTGTATGATGGTACAGTTTGTGCCCTGCACAGAGGCACAAAATGTAAGGAAGAGTTAAAATCCGGTGTGTGGCAGACTTGGTGGCACACACCTGTAATCCCAACACTCAGAAGACTGAGACAGGAGGATCATTGCAAGTTCAAGACCAGCCTGGGCTACAAAGTGAGTACAAGGCCTGCCTCAACTGCATAGCAAGACCCTGTCTCAAAAAGACCAAAAAAATAAAATAAAATAAAATCTAGTGTGTGCTCGACTTGACAGAATAATGCCAAAGTACATGCCCTGGGAAGGCTGCGGCTCAGAGACAAACCTTTTGCTGATTTGCTTAGGGGAAGAATACTGGCTAGCAGTGACCCTTCTCATGGAGAAGACATGTAGTAATTAGTGTGGGTAGTTGCCACTGGACTCCTGATATCTCCTTTCTACTCCAATCCTGGGTAAGCTACAAGGCTAAAAGACTGTAACTTTGCAATTCATTAAACCTCTGTGATCTTTGAATATATATCATCCTCAACTCTAGGAGCTCTGGACTAAACACATGATCCTTCCAGCTTTATACCATAAAGCAGGGCAGAACTGAAATAGAAAAGTACTGTGTAAGCCATATGTATCTGTGGTTTCCATCTTTGACAATTACATAAATCATGTACAAATTTGAATTTCCTACATCTTGCCATCTAGTTTGCTAAACCACAGCTTTTCAAATATTAGCTTTCCTAACTCCTGGTGGAGTGGGTAGTTTCAGTCACTGATGACCAACCATATAATTGATCCACCAGTTCATCCCTCCTTTGTGTGTCAGGGAAGAGAACAGGGCGGATCTGTCAACAGATGGAGCCTGACAAAGAGTTGAACCAGGAATTCTTCCTTGACTAACCAAACCCAGAAGTAAATTTGCAAAGCAGTTGGCTGTGCTTTGTGTATAAGAACCTGGGATTTAGAAGTGCTTTAAATACACTCTGAACAGTACACACCTTTCTATAACCCCTTTACACACACACCTACAAATAGGCACCTGTTGTTTGATTTAGCCAATTTAATGAGCTCACTCTGGGCCTCTTCCTAGCACAGTCTCGGGTGCCCTACTCCACCCTTCCCTTTGGCTGGATTAAATCTATCTACAAAGGTTCTATTTACGTAAGAGAGAAAGCAAGATCTGTCTCACTTGGTTGGGTGGCCTCACCATAGCTGCAGCCATGTTAGTGCAACTAAAGATGCTCACAAAAGAGAAACTGCACAACTGCTTCAGAAAGTGGCAAGAATGGTGAACTGTGTATGTTCAAAGCAAGGGGGGTAGTATTTTGAGGGGAATTAAGGGCAATGTGTCTTTAGTGTAATAAAATTATTTTAGGTATTCATGATACTTTTCATCACTCCTTGTATCTAATAAATACCTGTGTCAATTACATTTGGGATGTCAAGGAGGAAAGGAGTAGAGAACTCTAACGAGTGTACACCGGGCCCTGAACTAGGGAAAAAAGATGAGAATCTGTGTCAGGAACTGAAGGATGAGAGGAATTAGGGTTGGAAAAAAACATCCAGTTACAGCACAGGAAGCAAGAGGAGAGTGCCTAGGAATTGAGTCATATATTGTTTTGAAAACCATGTGAAGAACTTGAATTTGGGAAGCTCTGGAAAGACTGGAAAGTGAATTAAAGGAAGCCAGTGTGAATGTAAAGAAACCAGATAGGAGAATAGTAGTCCCAGTGAAAGACAATGGATAGTTTCAAATGAAAACTCAAATATATCAGAGTTACTTGGGAAAAGTAAGCTTGGAACTTACTGAGCTCTTGATAGAACTTAAAAATACTAAACATGGATCTGGCCCTCAGCTGAGATATAGGCTGAAGACATAAAATTAAAAATTGTGGGGGACTGGGGATTTAGCTCAGCGGCATAAGCGCCTGCCTTGCAAACATGCAGTCGTGAGTTTGATCCCTGGTACCGATTAAAAGGAAAAAGACAAAAAACAAAATTAAAAATTGTGAACATACCTAAAAATGGAAGTAGGTACATGGAAGAAACGATCTCAGGTGAAGTCCAAGAAGTCAAACCATTTAAGGATTAGGTAGAAGAATTGTGAAGAACCAGGATACTCATTCCAAAAAGAATTAGCCATCAGTGGAGGAGGAATCCTAAGTGATAGCCTGAGTTCCTGTACCTCAGGGTCTGTGGGTTCAGGAGTGAGCTTATTGTGGCTGTTAACAGAGGTAACTGTGTGATATGAGGGACAAGGACAGAAGCCCCGATACTACATAGCCCAGAAGAGCAGGCTCTAGGCTACAACCCACTCACATTAATCCTAGCAGGGTACTGACTGACACACACATCTTCTCATTCTTGGATGTCTGAAGACCTGGGTTAGTATCCTGGTCCTCCACTGAAAAGTTATAGAGTGGTTATGACCATGCAAGTAAATTTGGACTCTACATCTGTGAAATACAGGGTTTTCATAAATGCTTGATATAGGATAGCATGAATCTAATTATAATAGTGTCTAAACAGGATCCTTCCTGCAAGAATGCCTAGCCTGGGCCTGCCAGGCATGTCTCAAAACCTCTGGATCTGCTTGAGGAGTCAGCCTGTCTTCTGGATCCCTCTTACTAACCCGTGCAACCTGAAGCAACTTTTCTTCCCTTCCGTTTCCTTTCTTCTGTGCCTACAAAACCTGTTTTGGATGTGGAGATAAGATCTTTCTTATCCCACATTTATTTTTCAGACTAAGGTGCCAGAAATTGGACCAAGACTTTTTACTCACTATAAAGGAGACACTTGAAAAGCAGGATTGCTTTAATTATGCCTCTGAACAGTCCAGTACACAACTTTCCAAAACCACTGTTTTCGAGCGCGCACACACACACCATTTAAGTTCCTCTCTGACCACTCAGAAATTTCCTAAAGAGGGCACAGCTGTCTCTCCTAGTCTTCATTACATTCCAGTGGCCTTATCTCTACTGAATTTTCTTAGCACTTCATTTCATCCCTGAATTTCCCAAAGCATTTCTACTGTGGAGAAAATATGTTTTAGGGGGATTAAAGATGATTTAAAATTCAGTCAGTCATCCAGGCAGCCTTTGGTAGTGTCTGCTGTGTGCCAGGTTCCAGCCTCTCACATATGAGTAGGATCTAGTTTGAGGAGGAATGTTATCCAATCCCTCCCTGAGTCTGCTCTCTGAATTGCTCTGGATTTAATTGGTGCTCTCAGCCTTCTTCATCTTCACCCACTATGAATAGGTCTTCAGACTTCATCCTTTAGACACATTTTACTATGTGAAATCTACAGTTGACCCCTACTTTCCCTCCCCTCACCTCCTTACCTCTCATTCTTCTCACCTGAACCCCCTTAAGTACGGTGAGACTGAGACATGAACATTCTCAATAGAGAATAGCCAATATATAACTGCTCACTCCCTGCCCAGTCAGACCTTGGCCACAGCTCTCCACTGGCCTACCTCCACCCTAAGTCCTGGCCTCCAGTGGACTTTTTTATCCTCAGAGATTGAGACCATGGTCTTCACACCAATCTACATCTCCAGCCCTTTTTTTAAAGATAGGAGCTTGTTAGGTCTCTGAGTTGCTCAGGCTGGACTCAAACTTTTGGTCCTGCCTTAGTCTTCCAAAATGCTGGGATTACAGGCATGCATCAGCACATTCAGCAACAATGGACTCAAAAATAGAGAATTTTCAAAAGATCAATTAAATCTCTGGGTATGAAATTCATGGCACTTCTAAATTTATCTTTGCACCTTTACTCCCAGTGGATATCCCTCAAACTATACTAAAACTTGAATGTTTCCCAGACACATCATTTCTTTCTTCTCTGTACTCAGCTCTACATGCCTTCACACTCTTTACACCTTTTGCCTGATAGGAAAACTTACCATCTTCAAAATCCATGTGATAGGGTAAATGTGGCCATGAATCTTTGGAACTAGTCCTCACCCTTGGCATCTGGGGTGGCCTTGTGATACTTTGACCAACAAAATATAGTATATATAGATAGAACAATTGTAGGCCATGGGACTGGCCCCCTCCACTCCCCTTAGGACCATTCCTACTCACCAGAATCTGGGCAAGTGCCCTCAGGCTTACCCACAGGTGGTAGAGACAAGGAAGGGCAACAAGGATCCTAAACCCACTCAGGAAAATTCTAACACTTCCAAAACAAGATGCATGCAGACTAGACCTCACTGCATGACCTAGAATAACCTTATTTTCTCTGGTGCTCACTGAGTCCCTGTATATGGACTACGTTTTATATATATATATATACACACACACACACACACACTCAGGGACATCAGTCCCTGTATATGGACTGCATCTTATATATTTACAACTATAACAGTGAATTATGGGAAAAGATGTGCCAAAAAGACACAGTAAACATGACTCAGCCCTGTTGATCGTGCTGTGGAGGTAAAACAGGTGGGAGATTAAACCTATACACCCTATATTCTCGGCACCCATGCCATTTTCCTTTCACTGGCACATGCCCACTCACTCTGAGCATATTTTCAACTTAAACTTTGCTGCTGTACGTTGTCATTATGTGCTATGTCTAGTTCTTTGTGGCACACAAGAACCAGGAACACATCCCCAGACCCCATAACCCAAGGTAACAGTAGAAATGATGTTATACAAATTCTGCAGCCCAGGCCTCACCACCTTGGAAACCTGAGATCACCATTCTATGAAGCAGCCCAGGATGACAGCAGAGGCTTAGGATCCCCAACTATCCCAGCTGGAGCCAGCCCTGACTTACCACTAGTGCCACATGAGCAAGTCCGGGGGGATTTATCACTGGGCTGGGCTGTAAGGGGTTCCCAAAGAGTGATGAAGAACCTAAACCCATTCGATCTGTGGAATAGGTTGTAAGTTCACTGACTTCCATCATGGAGAAACAATTTTAAGGATGTGTCAGTAAGAGGCTGAAAGGGATTATTACTTTCCCTTTTTGTAGAAGCAGGGAACAGGGTCTCACTATGTAGTTTAGGCTGGTCTTGAACTCACTGTTTCCCACACTGGCCTCAAGCTTGTTACTGTTACCCAGCCTCCCAAATGCTGGGGTTACATGTGTGTGCCACCGTGCCTGGCTTTAGCCAGAATTTTAGAAGTAGATACTTGATATCGAGTATGGGCCCTCAAAAGAGGTGTGTCATAATCTGGGCCCCAGTAAATTTATGGGAGATTTGGGGGTGAATCTATAGAACTAGTGAATCTATGGAAATGGGATTCAATTTACTGATGAAGGGTGATAACTCTTGGTGGAAGAGAGGTGATGATCTGATCATAAGGAAAGTATAGGTGATAACAGCCATACCCACCCAGAGGACTATTCACAGATGAAAGAACAAGGAGAATGACCAAAGTCCTTTGTAAATGAAAGGGAATTGCCCAGGGGGTGTTATGTTTTATACCTAGAAGTCCTTCCCAAATCCCATGTGCTCACAGATGGGGCTTTTGGAAGGTGACTGGTTTCGTGGGATGTGATACTCCTTGGTGGACTAACCACCGATGAATTTATAGCTAGATGTGATTTGGGAGGTGAAGCCTGGTTGAAGGAGGTGGATCACTGGGGCATGGTAGGGTCTATCTCTTTCCTACTTGCCTGCTATACTATGAGCAGTTCTCCACTGCCATGCCTTGGAGCCAGCTGACTGGACTAGAACCTCTATGAACTGTAAGCCAAAATAAACCTTTCCTCTTTTATGTTTTGGGTGTTGGGTATTGTGTTCAGCAACATAAACGTAACAGACATCAGGCTTATTGTTTCTTGGGAGAAAAAAGTTTTTAAATGGCTTGTATACCTGAATGTTCAGTTTTATTTTTAAAATTATGGTTTTCCTTGTCTCCTTTTTAGCTATCTTTATTTTTTCCTATCCTTTCTCAGAGACAGCACAAAAATCTCCCAAATCACCCACAGAATCTTGAGAAATAATGAATGGTGAATGTTTTAAGCCATTAAATTGTGGAATTCCTCATTCCCAGCAGTGGATACCTAATACAGTGCAGTTCTAATGTGAAGTCCCCGTGGTTCACTCACATTCCCGTCTCCAATATCCCTCTCTCTTTCCTGTCCACATCATATCATTTTATAGTCCAATTTATCTCTGCATCCTGACCACTCACAGAAGTATGATGAAACTCTTGGCTGCCAAATTAAGCATACTTGGAGATGGGGGTGTAGCTCAATATGCATGAGCATTTATCTAGTACATAAGGCCATCCCGGGTACTGGAGATAGAAGAAGCACTCCTATGTGAATGTCTTACATAAAGTTTATTCAACAAAAGACTTTAAATCATGCCTTATATTAACAGAACAGGTCCTAAATTAGGAGTAGTTCTCAATCTAGCAAGGAAACTCAATCACTCCTGAGCAATATTGAATGTTTCAATCCAGTTGTGTCTATATTACTTGAAAAAGCACACATCAGTTAAGTAAGTAGCAGGGTCAGAGTGTCCTAGAAGAAACTACCACAGTACTTAAGTAAGTTGTGTTGGCTAAGGAAACAGGGCTGCCCTCCCTGTCTTTGCCTTACCCCTGAGGAGGAGGAGTAAAAGCATGGATTGGCCAAATGCAAGAATACTGAACTAGCCACAATCTGGGAAGTGAAATCCCAGTGTGTGAACCAAGGAGTTGGTCCCAGTCTGGGGATGGCTCCTGTCTATGTCCTCTATCTCACATACTCAAGGTAAGATGAGGGCCTGCCTGGGTTTCTTCATATTAGGAAGGTGGTGTAATTTCTCCTGTCCCACTCTCTTCTTCAAGCTCCAAGCAAGAACTAGAGAGAAATCAAAGGGAACAGAGCCAGGACCCAGTACTATATGGGTCCAGTGCATTCCCGTGGGTTAGGGCTTCACATTGGCCATGCAGGTGATAAAGCCTTGTTTTCCTGCAGCATCTGCTGTACAAGTACTCCCCTCAGAATACCCAGGCATAGTAATATACCTTGGGAATGACCCAAGAATACTGTGTTCCAGCCATTGGACCATCAACCAAGAGGAAAAAATAACACAGGTAGGTCCTGGGGGGGGGGGGAATTCTGAGTAGAGTGAATAGCATTGTAAAGTGTGGAGTAATAAGTGAGAAAGACCTGCAATTAGAGAATTACTAAGGAACTTTATGCCACACTGCATAAAAATACTGATCTCACCCATAAAAAGGTGATTTGCTTGTCCCTCTAAACTAATTGCTATCATTACTGTACCAAGTATCATTAAGTACCAAGTATAGATGGAAATGCCTTACATAATTCACAAAATCATGAAACAGATAAGTAACCTGCCTAAGGCTATTTAATAACCAAATAAAGAGCCTGGGTTCCATTCAAACAAGTCAAATTAGTGGCAGGTCTGTCCCTTTTTCACCAGCTTTGCTAATTCTGTAGCCACTGTGCCAAGGAGACAGAACCTGTTGACCTGTACTTACCAGCAGGTGGTGGTGCTGGAGTTCAGTCTGGAGACACAAGGAATCAGGGCCAACAGAGCTCAGCAAAGTTGAAGGTGGAGGAGGTCCAGGGCACATGGAAGAATGCTTTGAGCAAAAAGGAGTCCAGCAAAAAGAACCTCAGAGAAGACAGTCAGCACCTCCGCAAGTGAAAACTCGCAGGCTACATAGCACAGCACCCAAGAATAGAGCTGAAAAAGGCAGCAGCACCCTCAGCAGGCCTGGTCCTACACCTCTTCCTCTTTTCAGTCAAAAGTTGGCTAGGATCCAGGTTCCTGGCTCAGGTTTATCAAAGTAAATGCATATTTCCTTGGAATGAGATTTATTGTTCCATTAAAACCAATTATTTTTCTCTCTGGAAATGATTGAGTGGGGAAGAGTATTTTTTATTTTTTAACCAGCATTTGATACTAGAATTTTTTTAAAAAGTATTTTCTTATATTATTGAGAGGTGAATATTAACTTTCTCAGTTTTTTAGATGAGAAAACTGAAGTCTAGGAGGTTTACTCAGGAAAGGAACTGAAACACAGCCCTGTTTTTCAGACTTCAAGTTCTATTTTCATTCTTTTATTGATTGAAAACTATTTATTGCCTCCCTGAAGTGAGCTAGGCACAGGGCTATGCACTGCCTCATGCTTAGTGAGGACTAACACATGTGTAGGGTTCTCCCTTTTATCTTGGTAACTTGCTGCCATTCTGCAACACCCGATCTGTGCCCACTCTGAGCTCAGTGTTGTGTGTGGACTGTAAATCACAAACACAAGAACACAGTCCAATCCAGTGACACTTACTCTGTGCAAAGTATTCATTCTGAAAATATTTCTTGAATGTGCATCTGAGCACAACAGAATCCAAATTAAACACAAATTACTACTCTGGAGAAAGTCATTTTACCATTATTTATTGACACCTTGATAATCATAATAGCTAACACTGAATACTTACCGTATGCCAAACGCTATACCAATTTTTTTTTTCTTCCTACATACTGGAGATTGAACCCAGGGCCTTCACTCTGAGCTACATTTTTAGACCTGCTCCCTCATCCCCCTTTTTTTATTTTAAAAACAGGCTCTCACAAAGTAGCTAAAATGTCCCACCTGGGCTTAAACTAATGAATCCTCCTGGCTCAGCCTCCCACAGTGCTGAGATTATAGATATGCAGCACCATACCCAGCCCAAATTCTTTACACACATTACCACTTACCCTTCACAAAAACTCTTTTAAGAGTTAGGTATTAAAAAGCCTACTTTAGTGATGGTGAACTTTTTAGAGCTTTTGGTGATAACAAATAGCCTGCTTTGACATATGTGCCATTAGCTTTATCACCACTGGACATCAACTTGCTCAACTGTGCAGCCTACAAGTCATAGAGATGAAATTCAAACCCAGGAATCCAACAGTTGCCCCACTATGTTGTGCATGGCACTGGAAATCCAATAGTGGACAGCATAAATGCAAGCCTGCCCTCAAAAAGCTAGCAGATTAGCTGGGGACATGCATAGATTACAAATGTGCAAATGTGTGTCTTCCTAGGGATTCTTCATGAAGCCCACACTTGGGTACACTTGGTCAGGCTACATAGAAGAGAGGGTGTTAGAAACCCCTCAGAGGGTGTTAGACCTCACAGGTGTTAGAAACAGCACATAATACTAGTCACAGGAGAAGCAAGTGGAACTGAAGGATGCCAAAAGGTCACAATATTCGTATCTTCCATTCACGGCTCATGTTCACTGAATGCTCACAGCCCTAAACAATAGTAATCTGCTAATCTGTACTTTAGAAGAGAACATTCAGACTCAGAGATCTAAACTGACTGGATCAGATAGTTCAGTGCTATGACCTGCTTCTGTGACTGACCATAGTGAGGAAAAGAGGTTAGAGAGAATACAGGCTGGACAGAGATGGAGAAAAGGGAATGAACCAGAGAAGTGTAGAATGCAAAGTTAAAGCATATGAGGAGTGAATATAACCTGAGGAGGGCAGGGAAGGTCAGCATTTCTTGTTGTGGGAACAAGGTGAGTGGTGGTGCCATTCACTGTAGTGAGAAAAACAGATGCAAATGAATTCACAGCAAGATGGAGACTGACTTTGGACATGAGGAGTCTACTGGACCAGGGTAGCATCCAGGGGATATCAGAAGGCAAGAAGAAACATAGCTTTGTCTGTCAGAAGAATCTTCCTGGGGGATGTGGGGAAAAAGGAACCCTTTTCCACTGTTGGTGGGAGTGTAGACTGGTGAAACCACTGTAGAAATCAGTGTGGAGATTCCTCAAAAAACTAGGATTACAGATTCCATTTCACCCAGCTAACCCGCTTCTGGGCATTTTCCCAGAATTGAAAACAACACAGCACTGTGATACATGTTTATAGCAGCAAAATTTGTAATAGCCAAATCTTGGAAACAGCCCAAGCGCCCATCAGTCAAAGAATGGCTAAAAAAGATGTGGTATTTTTATACAATGGAGTACATTGTACTCAGCTATAAAGAAAGATTGCATTAAGACTTTTATAACTAAATGGACATGACTGGAGACCATACTCATAAGTGAAATAAATCAAACTCATGTGTAAATACCATATTGTCTCCCTAGTGTAAGAAACTAAAAAATTATATATGTTCCAAAATCTACAATGAATACTGTGTAAGGGTAAGAAACTATTCAAAGAGGAAAAGTAATTAAAATAAGAGAAAGGTGGAAAGAAGGAAAAGGGAAAAGACAAAAATTTGTGTGTGTGTATTTATATATATAATAGCTAAACTGACTACAGTACTAATTGTATTAATTACTGGAAAAGAACAGTTAATACTGATATGTTTAGATCAATTTTTTTTGGTGGTACTGGGGATCAAACTCACGACCTCACACTTGTCAGGCAGATGCTTATGCCGCTGAGCTAAATCCCCAGCCCCTGTTTAGATCAATTTTACATGTCTAAATCTGTTAATCTAAGCAACCCTCCAGAAGGTATAATATAGTATTACAGGTTGTACAGTATTACAACCATTGTCAAATTCCTATCATCTTGTTTTGGAAACCTATACTGTTACTATATTTGGGTTTTTTTGTTGTGTGTCTGTATTGCTTTTTGATTTTCTTTTCTGTCTTTTTAATCTTAAATAATTAATAAATAAAAGAAAAATCCTCCTGATTGTGAGAGACCTCAGATACCTCAGTATAATCTTCAATTTTGGTTCCTTTTTACCTATGATGTCAAAGATGACTCCTGGTTCACCCCTGACTTGGTTTCCCCGCAGATGGCTTTTCTGTACCGTAGGTCTATGAATCTGAAGACTGTGACCTTCCTGCTGGTGAGCATGAGTTTCTTAGCACTGTGCCTATTTCTCCTCCAAGAACCGCGGTCCCAGCAGGAGGAGAAGGGGAAGAACTCCACTGATGTTCCCATGGCCAACACGCAGCCCTTGGCGCTGAAATCCGGAACCCCGTGTGTGGCCAATGCCTCAGTGAACAGCGTGGCCAACTTTGAGCAACTGCCAGCGAGGATCCAAGACTTCCTGCTGTACAGACACTGCCGCCAGTTCCCACTGCTCTGGGATGCCCCGTCCAAGTGCGTGGGCCGCCACGCCGTTTTCCTGCTCCTGGCAGTGAAGTCGTCTCCAGAGAATTATGAGCGCCGCGAGCTCATCCGGCGCACGTGGGGCCAGGAGCGCAGCTATCGCGGGCAACAGGTGCGTCGCCTCTTCCTGCTGGGCACCCCAGAGCCCCAGGTGGCAGCGCGCGCGCCGCAGCTGGCAGAGCTGGTGGGCCTGGAGGCGCGCGAACACGGCGACGTGCTGCAGTGGGCCTTCGTGGACACCTTCCTCAACCTCACGCTCAAGCACGTTCACCTACTAGACTGGCTGGCAGCACGCTGCCCGCGCGTGCGCTTCCTACTCAGTTGCGACGACGACGTCTTTGTGCACACCACCAACGTGCTCAGCTTTCTGGAGGCGCAGTCACCTGATGGCCATCTCTTCACTGGGCAGCTCATGCGTGGCTCCGTGCCCATCCGTGACAGCTGGAGCAAGTACTTTGTACCCCCACAGCTCTTCCCTGGGGAGGTCTACCCGGCGTACTGCAGCGGAGGTGGCTTCCTCCTATCCAGCCATACAGTTCAGGTTCTGCGCACAGCTGCGAACCACACACCTCTGTTCCCCATTGACGACGCCTACGTGGGCATGTGTCTGGAGCAGGCCCACCTGGAGCCCAGCAGCCACGAGGGCATTCGGGTCTACGGAGTGCAGCTGCCTGGAGCCCAGAAGCCGTCCTTTGACCCCTGCTTGTACCGTGAGCTGCTGGTCGTGCACCGCTTTGCACCCTACGAGATGTTGCTTATGTGGAAGGCACTGCACAGCCCCACGCTGAGCTGTAGCCGAGGACACAGGAGCTCGTGAGGCCACATGGGCTGGGCGGAGAAACAGCTTCAGTGCCCAAGCCACTGCTTGTTATGTTTGCCTGGCTGAGAATGTATCTGCCCTGCACAGATACATTTTATCCAACCGAGCTGCATGCATCTGCGCCTCAGTTGTGTGTTGAAATCACCTTGGGGGAGGACTCTGGAAAACACTACATCCTAGTCTATTTTCTTGGTCTCATCTTCAGCAGGTCTTACTGATCTGGGGGGCCCCAGTTATGTAGGCGAGAATTTGTTCATTTTGTTTTAAGTTTTTGTTATTGTTGTTCCTCCAGTAATTCTATGTCCAGCTCAATTTGAGGACCACTGAGTTAGGTATGTCTACTCATCCTGGCCAACCCAGCTTCCCAAGCCTTCCAGGTCATAATCCACTCACTTTAGGCAATGGCACAATCAATGTTACCTATCAAGTGAAGTACAGATATAACTTGTCATCTCCACTCTGAACTACAAATCAAATCTGTGTCAAAAAAATCCCATAAATCTATTCTACAGTTATGTTATCCAACATGGGTCTCAGTGACCTAAAGTCAAGGTGTTGTGAGACTGCGTTCCTTCCTGAGTATACTGTAAGGGAGAATCCAATTCTTTGCTTTCTCCAACTTCAAGAGGTCCCCTTCCTCCATCTTCCAGACCAGCAATGCTGTATTTCTCTGTGCCTCGTTTCTGTAGCCAAATCTCTGTCCTATTCTTCTATCTTCTTTTACTCCTCTGACACCCAGTCCTGGGTATCAAATCCAGGTCTCAAACATGCTGGATGTAGCTCACTACTGAGCTGTATCTCCAACCCTTTTTATTGTTTTTTTTTTAATTTGGAAACACAGTCTTATTAAGGTATCCAAACTACCCTCAAATTTAACAATCTTCCTTTCCAGTTTTTAGAAACCTTCTTACTACATCATCTTTAGGACTCACCTGGATAATCCAGGGTTATCTTTTTTCTTTTTTCAATAAAACAGGATTTCTCAAAGTTTCTAAGTTGCCCAGGTTGGGCTAGATTTTGCAGTTGTCCTGCCTTAACCTCCCAGAGTGTTGGGATTACAAGCCTGTACTACCACATCTGGGTATATTTTAAATCCAGCTAATGAGTAATCTTTATCTATAAGTTTACCTTCCTTTCCCATGTTACTTAACATATTCACAGGCTTAAGCGATTGCAGTGTAGCCCTCTTTGGAGAGGCTATTGTTTTGCCTATTGCTGTGACCAACAATTTCTTCCCATTTCCCAGGCAGGCCAGAGGATTGTTTACATTTTAGTTAAAGATCTTAAAGGTCAGAAACTTCACTGCTTGGTTGGAAAGCTGTAGTTATGGATCAGCTGTGTGACTCCAGGTTCTGTTCAGTCTTCGGAGCTCGGTTGTTCACATGTAAAGGCTTAGGGAAGACTGCGTGGGCCACAATACCCTGGCACCACGTGGTACCACCTGGCCCTCCACTTGCCTCCACTTCTTAGGCGGTATGTCTCAGCCAACCCAGCCTGGCTCCTGCAGCCCATGCGCCTTGCAGCCACCAGAGGGCGGCCACGGTAGGGCTGTGTAGTTGCTCTGAGTTCCCAGGGCTAGAAGTTGGTGAACGGGGCAGAGGCCTCGGAGTGATGGTTTCAGGATGCTTGGGATATTAGGGAGGTGATGAGCAACATAAGCTATGATTGCCCTCGTTATACATTTCTGGGGAGGACTATCAGACCTTTTCTCCCCACACACACCCCTTGAATCCTGTGGACAACAAGAAGCAGTCAGCCAGTAAGTGCTCTTTATGAGGCAAGCATGACTTTGATACTCAAACATCCCAAGAACGCCACAAGCTGTCAAACTGATGCACCTGTCTCATGAACATAGATGCAAAAATCCTACATAAAAACTCTAGCTTGGGATACAGCTCAGTTGTAGATTGCTTGCTGGCATATATGAGGTCGTAGGTTCAGTCCCCAGTAACAAAGGAAGCGATGGCTGAGTAGTATTTTAAAAAGGGGAGCAGGGGAGGCAGCAGTTAGTAAAAAGGAGACTGTTTTAAGACAGAGAGGGGTTGTTTTGTTTTGTTTATACTAGAAATTAAACAAAGAGGAGTTTATCCCAGAAAATCCATGGGTTTAACATTAAGAAAATTATGCATAGGCTGCAGGTGTAGTTCATCAGTATGGGGCTTAGCTACCAGGTCACATGCCTGAGACCTGGGTCCCATGCCCAAAACCACAAAAAAGGGAAAACATCAATCACAAGACAAAAAAGGGCCCGACATGGTGGCTGGGCATGGTGATACATCTCAGCATTGGGGAACCTGGGACAGAAGGATGGCAAATTCGGGTCCAAGCTGAGCACTTTAGTGAGACCCTGTCTTAAAAAAAAAAAAAAGAAAAGAAAAAGAAAACTGGAAATTCCATCTATGGTTCATCAGATCAAAGGAAATATGAACATCTCAGATGGAGGCAGTGAGGAAATTCAACATCTATTGGTGATTTGAAAGACAAACTTAGTAAGAGGTGAAAATATTTCCCTTCAGGTTAGGAACAGAATGAGATGTGCTCCTCATCACTTTTATTCAACATTATCCAGCACTGGAGAGCATAAAATGAATGTACTAGCCACTCTTCCATTGCCAGGTCAAAACACTTTATCTCCACAATTTAAAGAGAGTTTAATTTGGCTCACGGTTTCAGAAGTTCTAGTCCATGGCGAAGGGCTTCAATACAGAAACAGTGTGGTGGAAAGACATGATGGAACAAAGCTGCTCACTTCATGGCAGCAGGGAAGAAGGGAACAGGGGAAAAGCACTTGGTACCAGACATACTTCCCAACGTCACACTTCCATGATCCACACAGATAGACCCAGAAGTGCGCTTTACAACTGCTTAGTCAGCTCTCAAGCCAATCAAGATGGCAATCAAGATTGTCATAATGAGAATACAAAAATATTATTGGAAATAAAGACATATTTTAAAACCTCAGAAGTTTACAGTCATATTAGATCCAAATTCTTGCTATAAAAATTAATGTCAACCTTTATATCATAAAAGGAAATTCTCAGGTGATGTACTCTGCTTGGACATACATACTTATTTTTTGTTTCAATTTTTTTTTCTCAGCACTGGAGATTGAACTCATACATGACTTTTGTACACATCCTCAGCCTTTTATTCCTCTAGCCTTTTTTGTTTTTTGGGTTTTTTTGTTTGTTTGGTTGGTTGGTTGGTTGGTTTTTGTCTTTTTGAGACAGGGTCTCACTATGCAGTTCTGGCTGGCCTTGGGTTCTCTTTGTAGCCCAGGCTCTTTCTCCAACTAGCAATGATCCTCCTACCTTAGCCTCTCGAGTTCTGGAATTATGCCCAGCTGGGGTTTTTTTGTTTGTTTGTTTGTTTGTTTGTTTGTTGTTTTTGAGACAGGATCCTACTAAGTTGCTGAGTTGCCTTGGCTGGGCTCAAAGTCTCAGTCCTTCTGCTTGGGCTCAAACAAGCCTTTGCCTTCCAGAGTTCTGGGATTACAAGTATATATGCCACCACACACAGTTCACACATTTTTAAAAATCTAATGCTTTTATTGTCACATAAAACATAAAAAGAAATACACATACTAAAGTAATATGCATTTTGATATATAAATTTAAGGGCACAAGAAACCTCTTACACATTTCCAAATCTTCCACAAGGGGACAGTATACCTCCTTTAAGAACTATTAATCTACATAGAAACCTCACCAGACACACACACACACACACACACACACACACACCTCTCTATAGATAATTGGTTAAATCAATTAAGTATCAAATGTTCCAGCCGCAAAAATCAATGTAAAAAAATCAACTTTTTTTCAGTACATGGACTTGAACCCTTTACACTGAGCTATACCCTAGCCCATTTTTAATTTTTTATCTTGAGACAAGGTGTCACTAAATTTCCAGGCTAAACTTCCCAGGCTGGGCTTGAACTTTTGATCTCCCTGTCTCAGCCTCACAGAGTGCTGGATTACAAGCTTGTGCCAACACAACTGACTCTAAAACATTTAAACAGTAACCTTTCTCCTGCTCTGGAGACTGAGATAGGAGAATCGCTTAAGTCTAGAATAGGAGTCCCAGGCCAGGCTGGGAAATGTAACAAGACCCCCATCTATTTTTCATTAGTAACATGTTTACAGCGCACAAAGACTACGTTCATTACAGGGAGTTGGCACAGGTATGTAATACATCTTAATTCATATTTATTCCCCTATGGCTCTATTTTCTTCCTGCTCCTTTCAACTCTTGGTCCCCTTCCCATTTACAAAAGTTCTTTTCAATTTTCTTTAATTCTTTTTTCCATCCTCTTTCTCTGGCCTCCCTCCCCCTTCATATCTTGGCCCTCAACCATTTGAAAAAGATCTATTAGTAGTTATTTTCTCTCCCCACATCCCTCATGAGATTATGTTGGATTCTGTCAAAGGCCTTTTCTGTGTCTACTGAGATGATCATGTTATTTTTGTCCTTGTTTCTGTTTATGATGTCAGTAGTAGGAGTCTTTTGGTAGAGATTTGTGAGTGTTCTATGTGGACAGTCATTGATCAGCAAATAATGATAATTTAACTTCTTCCTTCACTGCCAAGATCCCTTTTATTTCTTTATCTTGTTATATTTCTCTAGCTAATGTTCCAAGAACTATATTAAACAAAGTGACAATAGTGGACATTCTTGTCTTGTTCCTGATTTTAGAGGGAAAGCTTTCAGCTTCTCTCCATTTCGTATGATGTTGGCAGTTGTCAACAGAAATGGCTTTTATCAAGTTAAGATAAAGACCTTCTGTTGCCATTTTGTTCAATGTTTTATCATGAATGATGACCAGCCACAGTGTAGTCTTCTAAGGGTGACACTGTCTTTTCACGTCAGTTGCATCTGCTAGCCATACTTATAGTTGTATTTTTTTCATCTCATGGATTTCTGTTTGGAACATTTTATGTACTTCTGTTGGCTGAGTGTTCGTCTTTTGTGTTTATTTCTTTAGCTCTACTAGGTTTTTATTACTGGGGACCCCCACTTACTGAAGATCCTCACAAAAGTTTCAGTCTCCCACTCAGTAATGTGGTAAACAGCTGAAAATGAAAACAAGAGAAAATTGTGAAACAAAGGGCCTTTTTCCACAGCAGTTCTCAGCTTTTATTGAATATACCAGGAACAGAGACATGAGCTGAATATGGGCAGATGGTCATGGTTGAATGCATGGGAACAGTCACTTCTGGGACCAGCTAGTGCAAGAGGAACAAGGCATTCCGGCATCAACCACAAAACTACCAAACTTCCATAGCAGCTTAATGGATAACTTACTATGTTGCTATAAGTATCTTTTTACTGCTGAGAAAAAGACTTTGTTCTGAGTCTTAATGCTTCCGTGCTGTCATGATTGCATATCTCAGTCGGGTCCACTTATCGATCTATTATGTGGACATCAGTGGGAAGAGATGCTGGCCTGCTTATTATCACTTTGCCTCCATGGAACACATCAGTACCTCACCTGGACTCCAGTTGCATTCTCTAGACCATTTAAAAAGAAACTTACCTGTGCACAGCTAGCATTGCCTATACTTCTATACTTACCATTTCAGGATTTATTAAGAAAAAAGAAAAAGGCTGTAGCAGGGGACTGCAGGCATGGGTCTTCAACAGAGTGGTTTTCCACAATTCCCCCTTTCCTTTTTAGACCTTGGAGTAGCTGAAGAAGACAGGTTGCATGACATCTCAACGTCACTTGGCAGCAAGTCCTCCATGACATGCTGTGATCATTAAAAATAATAAAAAGGAGAATAAGAAATCCTATTCCAATATAAAACTAAAAATGAGCCTTTGGATAACTAAGGATATTAAATTGTTCCATAGCTACAACAAATTTATCCCAGTCCTTCAATTGAAAATCAAAATTAGCAGCTTGTTGGGTAAGACCTCTCTCTGCAAATTAGCTATATCCATTGTAACGTTTTGCTGCATAGCTCCTTCTGTATTTTTTGTGTGTTTTCCCAAGGGTATTGAAATTTGCTGTGAGGTAATAGAGTAATATAAAACTCGGATACTATAGAGTCATTTAAATCCTTGTTGCAATTGCAAGCTTTCAATTTAATCCCCTTCCATAAAACAAGTAGTTTCTAATATGCTTACTAGGGTTTGTAATTTGATATCAATTTCTTCCCGAATTTGCCAACTGTTACCAGCAGTATTAGTCCCATTAGCTACAAAATGGACTGTCTATATAGAATGGACGAGCACCACTGATCTTGTCACTGCCTTGGCAATCAAGAGGACCAGAAATACTGTTTCTGCTATCAAAAAGACTAATTCTTTTCATCTTTTGAGTAACTCATTTTATGTGTTTGTATAAGAAAAGAAGTAGAAGAAAGACATCAGGGTTCAATTAAATTTACAGGGAGCTATACTCTGAGCATATGCCCCATAGTAAGAATGATTAGGTCATCAAAAGGCTGCCGGTATTATCTCACAAAATTGGAGAAAAAAATCCTAAAATTCATCTGGAATCAAAAAGACCTAAAATAGCAAAGGCAATCCTGGGCAACAAAGATAAGATGGGGGCATCACAATCCCTGACTTGAAATTATACTATAAAGCTACTGTGATAGCCAGGCATGGTGGCACATGCCTATAATCCCAGCAACTCGGCAGCTGAAGCAGGAGAATCATTGTGAGTTTGAGACCAGTCTGAGTTACAAATTGAGCTCAAGCCCAGCCTGAACTGCATAGTAAGATCCTGTGTTTAAAAAAAACCAAAATAAATAAAGCTACCATGATTAAAACAGGATGGAACTGGGGAGGGGGGGGAACCTAGACCCGAAGATCAGTGGAACAGATTAGAAGACGCAGAAACAACTTCAGACATGCTAAACCATCTTATCTTTGACAAAAGTGCCAAACACATTCACTGGAAGAAAGCCTCTTTAATAAATGGTACTGGAAAAACTGGTTCTACACATGCCAAAGGTTAAAATTGGATCCATATCTTTCACCATGTGCTAAGCTAGAATTGGAATGGATCAAAGATCTTAATATTAAAACAGACACATTACATCTGGTAGAAGATTAAGTAAAACTCTCAAAGACATAAGTGCAAGCAAACATTTTATGAACAAAGCCAAGATTGCACAGACACTATCACAAAGAACCAACAACTGGGACCTCATTCTATTGAAAAGCTTTTGCACAGCAAGAGAAACCACCAACAAAATAAAGAGACAACACACAAATGTGGGAGAAAATGCTTGCCAGCTGTACCTCAGATAAAGAATTACTATTGAGAATTACTATCAGATAAAGAACTCAAAAAATCAGTCCCCATATTTAAAGATCCAATCCACAAAAGTGATCAATCAACAAAGAACAAACCAAATTTATCTAGTTGATGATCATTAAAAGGCTTTCTACAAATTTCCGAAGGACCCAAATTCCCTTCATAAAAATGTGGCGCATAGGTGTCAGGTTTACAAGGGGGTAAATCAGGTTGAAAGGAAGATGTATCAGTTCCGCTAAGTAGGGTAGAAATAAGAGTGAGGATTGTAAATGTATTTCCCAGAATTTGGACCTTCCAAGTCTGTTCCATAGCAACCATACAGAGATTAGGGATATCCTTTATCTTGGTTACACACAGAGGAGGATGAACAAAATGAGAAGTCAGATTTGTCATCTTTTGATGACAATATTGTACGTTGAGAGTATTAAGGGTCAATGCTCTCAACTTGAAAGATTTCAGGGAGTCTATCCATCCAAGAAACTGGTCTAAATAAAGGTACATTGGGTATATAAACTCAATATTCTGCTCCCTGGAGTGGAGAAATATACTATGGCAGGCAAAATGACAAGCAAAGCAATAAAGATGTGATCGGGGGTACAAATCAAACCCTGATGGTCCACCAGATGGCACGCTTCATGCATGGTCTTATCCAAATCTCTCCAGGAGAGCATGTGTAAGCTCTACTGCTCCACCAGAGGATGTCATCCTGACAGATCTGGACAAGGGAGATCTCAGCATGGGACGGTGTGCAGGAGGAGGCATCTCTGGTGCAGTGTTGAGGCTCCTTTGAGCCAGACAATGTTGAATTGGGGCCCGCAGTACTGTAGAGTTCCAGGATCAAGAAATTCTCATTCTTCATGGTTACCAATGTACATCTTCTAAAAAGCTCATAAGTGGGGCTGTGTTATGCTTTTCCTGGAGCCTTTTTTAAAACTCTCCATTGTCACATGCACCTGAATGGCACCCAAAATATCTCTCCATTGTCTGTAGAAATATAAGTGTACGCTTATCCTCACCTTACTAAGGATGCAGGAACATTCCAGGCACCCATCTGAGGGTTACATCAGGCTATGGGAGCACACATTGTTGTGACTGAGGGAGATGGATCTATCCAACAAAGAGTAGATGGATCTATCCAACCCAGGGAGAGTTAGATTCCAGAGCAAGATTTTTAAAAATTAAAACATAAGTTGCCAAATCTAACCATATCTGTGGCGAGAATAATATTCTCCTTTTCTTTTGTTTTGTTAATTGTTGTTTTAATTTTAAAGAAGTTCTTTCTATAATAGCCTGTCCTTGAGGATTATAGGGAGTGCCTATTATGTTTTATGTGCCATTTAGTAAAACACATAAGTATAAGTATTTATTAGGATTAATCTGAAACACCTAACAGACATGACTACATTTCTCTTGTAATTGTAACTCTTGGTTTGCCACCTCTCTAAATGTCTTAGAGAACTTGAATTTACATCATCTTGAAGGATATTATAAAGATTTTATAATTCATAAGTTAATATCTCCAAGTAATTTTTGAAAATCATTAAGAGTATTCAGTTTATTAGTCCTGATTTTTAACTTATGCGGACACATTGCCCCCATTGCCACAAGGGTTCCCAATATGTATAAGGAGCAGTCAAATGAATTTTCTCAGAGGTAATATGTAAGCTAACTGATATAAGATCTGTTTTCATTTTGATAAATACTTGAAACAAAAGTTATTTAGAGGGAGTAGCAAGCAAATGTTGTCCGTATAGTGAATATCATAAGCCTGAGGGAAAAGATCCCTAATGGTTTGTGCCTTAGTTACTTTTTACTTGTAGCTGAGACAAAATACCTGATGCCCAAAGTTGGGAAAAGAAAGGTTTATTTCTTACAGTTTTTGGAGGTTTCAGTCCATACTCAGTTGGTTCCAAGGCAGGCGGGCATGGCTGGGCCGCAGTTCATGGCAGCTGCAAACAGCAAGCTGGAACCAGCAAAGAGCAAGACACACCTTCTTCCTGCCATTACATCACATCCTGGCTCCACCCCTATGGGGGTGTGGCATTGACACCATCAATCCAAGCACTAGACAATGAACTGATCATAAATACACAATGCAAACTCATGAGGCCTGGGGGCCACAGACATAAACCATGACATTCCACCCCTGGCCCCTAGTACTCATGTACATCCTTTATACAAAAGACATTTAGTCCACCTCCAAGAGTTGCCAAAGTCCTAAGTTTCAGCATTGCTGAACAGTCCAAGTCCCAAGTCTCCTCCAAGATCTATCTATTAACTGTAACCCCCTGTACAAATGAAACAAGGTTAAACATTTCTGAAATGCAAAGGAACAAGATAAACATTACCATTCCAAATGTTACAAACAGGGAAATATAAAGCATTGGAAACAAAGCAAGTCCAACATCCAGCAGGGCAAACATTAAGTCCCAGAGTTCCATGCTCAGCATCTGAAGCAATCTGGTTGCAAACTCCAAAAGGCTTGGGTGATTCCACCCCCATGGCACTTCCAGTGATTTCAACTCCAGCAGCTTTTCTCTTAAATCCTCTCTGCTTGCTTTTTTGCAGCTTTCCTTGGATCATCCATGTTCCTGGCTTTTCCAAACTTCTGGGGTCTCCACTGCACCTTCGGCTTCACCTTTACCTCTTCACAAATTGCCCTTTCAGGGACACACTGCTTGGCCTCCCAGGCCCTTTGCAATCGAAGTGGAAGCTGTCTTACCCTCAGAATTCGTGCATTTTCCTTACACCTAAAATCAGCACCTTGTGGATGCCGCCAAGGTCTGCTGCTAGCTGAAGCAGTAGCCAGGCTTTTCTCTCTCTTGGCTCTAGGGATCAGTTGCCTGGATTGCAGGCAGGCTCTGTTTATCTGATTATGAGGAAAAGCTTCTCTATGTTGCCACCATTCTAGAACCTCATGTAGCCTCTGTCGCCATTCTGGAACATGGCACTCTGCATCTTTTCCCTCTGAGCAAATTCTTTCACCTTTGCAGTGAGACTGCAAAGGGTGGGGACCTGCTTCCTGAGATGCCCCACGGCCATCTTTCTTATCTCTCTGTTTCTTCTTAGCAATCAAAATCTCAACTCTGTCTTTACAATACACAGCCTTCCTGGAATTTTCCTTCTGGCCAAACTCACAGCATTTTAAATTATCCTGCTGGGCTCTTTGCTCTTGATCTGCAACATAAAGCTGGCTAAAAGCCCCCAACAATAGCCATGCCACAGCCTCAATGTTCCATTGCTTTTTAATTTCCTTTTCAAGATTAATCAGTCCATTGCCCTTTGTCTCAGTCTCAGGCAAAGTCTCTGGGCAGGAGCAAAATACAGAGAAACTTTCTGCCAAGCCATAATACACATCATGTGGAGTCCGACAACCAATGCAGTCCTTCTTTCCAGCAGAAACCTCCCTGGTCTTTACCATGTGGCTTTCTATCAGCCTTCTGGTCTCCTGAGCTCTGACTAGAATCTCCTCTACAGAACAGCCTAATCTTCTCCAGCTCTATGCATCCAGGTGACATGTCTGAACCTTTCCAAACTCTGCCCACAAGCCATTTCCAAAGCCTCTCGAAAAACATGGTCAGGTATAGTCACAGCAAATGAACCCACTCCTCGGGTACCGAATTCTGTCTTAGTTACTTTTTACTCGTTGCTGAGACAAAATACCTGAAGCCCAAGTTGGGAAAGGAGAGGTTTATTTCTTACAGTTTTTGGAGGTTTCAGTCCAAAAACTGGCTCCAAGGCAGGCAGGCATGGCTGGGCCGCAGTTCATGGCAGCTGTAAACAGCAAGCCGGAACCAGCAAAGAGCAAGACACACCTTCTTCCTGCCATTACATCACATCCTGGCTCCACCCCTATGGGGGTGTGGCATTGACACCATCAATCCAAGCACTAGACAATGAACCAATCATAAATGCACAATGCAAACTCATGAGGCCTGGGGGCCACAGATATAAACCATGACAGCTTGCAATGCACATGAGACAAAGAGTAGAACTGTTGGCCATTCCCTAGGGCAATACAGTCCACTGATATTTCTTTCTAGGTTCTTTAAAATTGGAATTTGTAATTATATGCAAAATATTGTCTGGTTGGCAACAGCTGGATGTTGAAAAAGTAGTCTTTTAGATCTATCTCTTTTAAGGGCCAGACTCAAGGAATGGCAGTAGCACTAGGTAACCCAGGTTGTAGAGCTCCCATTGGAAGCATGCAGGCATTTATTGCGCACAAATATTGCCAAAATCACCATTTGCCAGTTTGGGGGAGTACAACAAATACTAGGGTATTCTCAGGGCTAACTAAAGATTCCAGGTGTCCTAAATTAAGCCATTTCTCAATCAAAGAGGTCAAAGTTTTAGCTTCTCCTGTGTTAGGGGCCATTGCTTTACCCAACAGTTTCCATTCAATGGGCAATGCTAACAGGGGTGGCAAAGCACCAATAGCCCCAATTACAAATTTGGATGATCTAAATTATAACCTATGCCATGGTAGTAATTTTTAGATATTGGCTCAGTGGGTATCAAATGGCCCTGTGGATTTCTTGCCAAGTCTTTTGGTTTTAAAATAACCTATGGTGACTGTCATATTTTCTCCCAGGGGCACATCAGTTCTAATGGTGTAGTGTAGTACTGTGATGGTGCAGTCAATATAACTACTTTCTATTCCTTTAACAATCCCTTTCCCCATAAATTAATTGAAATAGATGAAACATATGGTGTTAAAAACACATTTGCCCATCAGTTCCTTCACAGAACAAGGGTGTAGTACTCTGTAAAACTGTTTTCAGTAAACCCAACGCTATCAGCACAGAGTGGGCCACTGGGGAAGCCAGGATTGGCTAGCTAGAATAGAAACATCACCCCTATGTCAATAAGGCCAGTGAATCCTTCAATCTTACCTGGCAACTGGAACAATTTGATGAAATTACTTGGAAATAGAAAATTTCTCTTTGAACAAGCGCAGAATCCCAACATTGTCTTGCAGCAGGAGTTCATGAGGCAAGGCTGATTGAGGCAACAATAAAATCTGAGCAAGTAAATCACCAGGCTCAAACCCAAATTCCAGAGGTGCAAAGAAAAAAAATTTTTTTTCTTGATCACAATCACCATCAATGACAACAGGAACAACCATAAGGCCATTTTGTAACAGATTAGCCTTACCAATAATTAAATATAGTGAACTCATTTGAGGCATAAGAGAGGGTTTTTCTCCTCCTAGGATATGAAATAGGAAGTAGCTGACAAGTTCAATCCTATATTCAGGTCTACAACAGAAGAGGGAGCTCAGGTCCTACTAGGAATCCATCCCTGTTTGAGCTCCACCTGTTGGCAAGTCTGAATAGGAAACTGCTGATTGGGTTGGACCTGAGTCAGTGAGTTTTTTCTGGACTCACTGACCAAAACACTAACCTAATGTTAGTGTTTTCTCTGGACTCACTGACCAAAACACTAACCTAATGTTAGTGTGTTGATTCCCGGTTGCTTGCTGGGCCCAGAGCTTGGCCTGCTTCCTGTTTTGCTGAAGAAGTATGCCATCTTTATGATATTTAAAACAGTAATCTTTTGCTCAGCCTTTCATACATTTTTGACAAGGTCCAGGAGGTTTATTATATTATTTTTTAGAGACAGGAGTATTTGTCCTAGTTGTAGATGCTTTAGTGAAGACCAGACATGACTTATGAACATGTCCCTTTTTGCCACAATTTAAACAGGTAACAGAAGTTGAGTCACTCTTGATAGATGGAGAAAATGTCTGGGCTATGGAGGCCAAATTTTGAGAGGCAGAGCCAATATTTTGACAGGCTGAAACATATGCAGTTAGATCATTAGTAAACAGGACAGCATTCAAGCCATGTTTATAATCATTGTGAGCATTTTCAAAAGCCAACTTAAAAATAACAATATTTGCCACTTGACTATCAAAAATTTGGTGGTATACAGCCCCCTGAAGATTGATTACAGAGTCCTAGGGTTCTTGCAAAATCTGAGTAAAGGACTGATTGGAATGCCCACTTCTGAGACTGAAAGTCCAGCACAATGTAGAAAATCACTGAACTGTCAAAAGAATGGAGAAGGTACACAAGCCTGAGCATGTAAATCTGCAAATTGATGGTACCAGACATTCCATGACTTACTATTCTGGCTACAGCATCCGTATCATCTCTACTGTCTCTCAGTTGTTAAAGTCCACAGTTGAATATCAAAATACAAATACTGAGTAGCTGACTTCATTGTTGCCCTACTGAGACTGCACTATTCCTTTAATCCCATCAAAAGCTACTTGTGTCAAGTTACTAACATTTATTGTTTCAAACATCTCCAAGGGATTGTCACATAACGTCTGCACTCTACATACCAAAAACTTCCACTAAGCAGGCAGGAATGGGATTCTTGCCTCATCTTGGGCATCAGTTATTGAGGACCCCTGCTAATGAAGACCCTTACAAAAGGTTGTGTCCACATTTTATTAGTGTTTTCTCTGGACTCACTGACCATTTGTTTCATTAGGATCATTATCTGTTTAGTTATATTTTCTTTGAATTCACCAACCACCCCACTGATCTGTTTTGTTACCTTTGCTATATCTTTTCAGACATTTCTGTTGTGTATCTTTTGATTTCCTCTCCCTCTATTCCTCCCGCATTGGTTTTGGAGAGTTGGGAATTTGGGGGGACATTTTGTTGCCTTGTCTTCTCGTGTTTTGGGTTTGTTTGTTTGTTCGATGGTTTGCTAGTTGATTATAAACTGTAGTTT